GGGTATTTTAAACTGTAAGTGGAGAGAGGAATGGAAAAGAATGAGCTGATCTGTCTAGTGCATGCATTAATTCTTCATTGCGTTGGTACAAGCATTTAATTTCTGAGTAACAGCTTTGATCAAGAAGCCAGTCCAGCTATAAATGGAAATGCAGGTACATGAATAAAGATTAATATTTAGCTCTCCACACAGCTTGACCAGATCTGAGACTAGCACAAACAAAAGAGCAACAACAAATGCTTCCATTGGAGACTGGTGCAGCTGCCCTTCTGATAGCAACCTAAACTTGTGTTAGTTTAAAGCAGCCATGAACCTACAAGAGTGTGAAAGACATCTTAATTTTTGGATTACTTGTAAAGTATTTTTTTTGCATTTTCAACAGTTACTGTTTGTTGTTGGTATAGTAGCAATCAATCATTAGCACTGTTTTTATTAATAAATGGACATTCAGTAAATTCAGAATAGTCTTAGATGAAAACTTGTCTCCATTTCTGAAGTACTAATTTGCTTAATTTTCAGTCAAAATTTGGCTTCCCAAAAGTGTCCTAACAACTGAAAAAACATTGGTATGAATCTTTCTGGAAAATTAATTGATAGCATTATGAGCATTTTGTAGCAAAATTTTAGTTTTCTAAAGTTTTAAACAATGTTTGCCAAACCTTGCTATATTTGTAAGCCATAAAAAACAGCCTGACTAGGAGCTCCATGGTTGATGTGCGAATGTTGAGATGAGGTTCTGTTGTTTGTATTAAGCAAGAGGTCAAATTAATTTTGCAGATGAGTTTTGCTGGTCAAAAAGTACACAAATCCCAACCACAGAAACTGAAAGTGTAATGAGATAAAATGGCATGGTACTCCCAAGATGAGACTATTTGTAGAAGGGGAAATATATTTGTGAGTATCTGAATTATTTAATGTTTTAATTCTGGGAAAAGAGGATTTCAAGGAGGGAATGCCTTCAGCTTTTCATAGAATCATAGAATCACAAGGTTGGAAATGACCTGCAAGATCACAGAATAGAATCACAGAATCACAAGGTTGGAAATGACCTGCAAGATCATCCAGTCCAACCACCCTCCCATTCCTATCAGTGCCACAAGCTACTAAACCATCTCTCGTAGCTCCTCATCCAGGAGCCTCTTGAACACTGCCAGGGATGGCGACTCCACCACCTCCCTGGGCAGCCATTCCAGTGCCTGACCACCCTCTGAGAGAAAAAGTTTCTCCTAATATCCAACCTAAACCTCCTCTGGTATAACTTCTTGCCATTTCCTCGGGTCCTACTATTTGCCTGGGAGAAGAGGCCAGACCCTTTTGCACCACAACCTCCCTTCAGGAAGTTGTAGAGTGCAATGAGGTCTCCCCTGAGCCTCCTCTTCTCCAGACTGAACAATCCCAGCTCCTTCAGCCTTTCCTCATAAGATTTGTGCTCCAGACCCCTCACACCAGTTTTGTTGCCCTTCTCTGGACATGCTCCAGGGCCTCGGTGTCTTTTTTGTAGTGGGGGCCCAGAACTGAACACAGTACTCAAGGTATGGCCTCACCAGTGCTGAATACAGGGTGATGATCACCTCCCTGCTCCTACTGGCCACACTATTTCTAATGCAGGCCAGGATGCCATTGGCCCTCTTGGCCACCTGGGCACACTGTTGGCTCATGTTCAGCCGAGCATCAACCAACAGCCCCAGGTCCCTTTTCTCTTCACAGTCATCCAGCTGGTAGCCCTGGAAGTGGAAGTGCAGGACTTGGCACTTGGCCCTGTTGAACCTCATCCCAGTCACCTCAGCCCAGCAATCCAGCTTATCCAGATCCCTCTGAAGGGCCTCCCTACCCTCAGGCAGATCAACACCACCTCCCAGCTTGGTGTCATCTGCAAACTCACTGAGGATGCACTCAATCCCCTCATCTAGGTCATCAATAAGGATATTAAACAAGATGGGCTCCAGTACTGAGCCCTGGGGGACGCCACTTGAAACGGGTCACCAGCTGGACTTCACTCCATTCACCACTAGCCACTGGGCACAGCCCTCTATCCAGTTCCTTACCCAAAGAAGGGTATACCTGTCCAGGCCACGGGCAGCCAGTTTCCTCAGGAGAAGCCTGGGAGAGACCATGTCAAAGGCTTTCCTGAAGTCTAGGTAGACTGCAGCAACAACCTTTCCCTCATCTACCAGTCTGGTCACCCAGTCATAGAAGGAGATGAGGTTGGTCAAGCACGACCTGCCTTTCATGAAGCCATGCTGGCTGGGCCTGATCCCCTGGACACCACACACATGCTGTGTGATTGCACCTAAGATGATTTGCTCCATGACTTTCCCTGGTACCGAGGTCAGGCTGACAGGCCTGTCATTCCCTGGATCCTCTTTATGGCCCTTCTTGAAGATGGGAGTCAAATCAGCGAGCCTCCAATCCTCCGGGACCTCTCCAGTTAACCAGGAGCGCTGATAGATGGCTGAGAGCAGCTCGGCAATCACCCCGCCAGCTCCCTCAGCACTGAGGGTGCAGCCCATCTGGTCCCATGGACTTGTGACAGTCCAGGTGGAGAAGGAGCTCTCTGACTGTCTCCACCTGAATCGCTGGAGGTATATTCTGAGTAGGGTCCCAGACTTCCAGATAAGGGCGTAAAATGCCCGGAGGATAATTGGTTTGCCTATTAAAGGCAGATGTAAAGAAGGCATTGAGGCCCTCAGCCTTCTCCTTATCCTCAGCGGCCACATTCCCTGCTGCATCAAGTGAAGGATGGAAATTCTCCTTGGTTCTTCTCTTAACGTTGGTATATTTGTGAAAGGATTTCTTGTTCTCTTTTATTGCAGTGGTCAATCTGAGTTCAAGTTGGGCTTTTGTCCTCTTAACTTCCTCCCTGCATACCTTATCAACTTCCTTGTAATTTCCCAAGCAGCCTGTCCCTTCTTCCAGAGGACATAAACTCCCTTTTTCTTCCAGAGTCTCAACAGTAGTTCTCAGCTCACCCATGTTGGTCTTCTCCTGCAGCTCTCCTTATGACATTCAGCCTGTTCTTGTGCCTTTAAGATTTCCATCTTGAGGAATGTCCAGGCTTCCTGGGCCCCTTTACCTTTAAGAAGTGACTCCCAAGGGACCCGTGCTACAAGTGTCCTGAACAGGTAAAAGTCCTCTGTCTGGAAGTTCAAGATAGTAGTTTTGCTGGTCACCCTTCTGACATCTCCAAGAATAGAGAATTCTGCAATTTCATGGTCGCTCTGCCCAAGACAGTCCTCAATCTTCATATCTCCCACCAGTCCTTCTCTGTTAGTGAAGAGCAGATCTAGCAGGGCAACACCCCTGGTAGGCTCTCCTACCAGTTGCATTAGGAAGCAACCTTCCACACATTCTAGAAACCTCTTGGACTGCTTCCTCTGTGCTATATTATATTATCAACATATATCAGGGAAACTGAAGTCTGCCACAAGAACAAGTGCTGGAGATTGCGTGGCTTCTGCAAGCTGCTCATGGAATGCCTCATCCATCGCTTCATCCTGATTAGGTGGTCTATAAAAGACCCCCTCCAAGATGTCACCTCTACAGGCCTTCCCACGATCCTTACCCATAGACTCTCTACTTTGTCATTCCCAACCCCAAGCTCTTCAACATCAAGACAGTCTTTAATATAAAGGGCCACACCACCACCCTTTCTTCCTCATCTATCCCTTCTGAAGACCTTGTAGCCATCCAATGCACGGTCTTTGAAATAAGATGAAGTCTTAGTCTGAAACAAGTGAACATAAAGTTAATCATTCTCAGTGTGTCTGTTTTTATGTGTAATTTGTTTGTTTGTAAGTATATTAAAGTTGAATGATCTCTTTTATTATTCTTTTCAGGTCTTTGTATGCATATTAAATGCCTCTTGTTTTACAAAAATGATAGGATTTTGAGAGTTAAACTGGATTTTCTTGTTACATCGGAAAGAGGCATAATATGTGTCAAGTGATTGGAATTACAGTAGATCTAAATTGGTATAAAATAAATTTCTTTGAAAATTGAAATTAATGTAAAACTATCAAAATTTAAATAATTTAATCCCTGTTAAAAGTAAATTAAAACTAAAACTGCTTTCACTAGATTTCTATTTCCCAGGAACTACTGGATTCATAAATGTATATATATGAAAGCATTTATAAAGCATAATATTTAATCAATTATGTTTTTTTAAGATACAAAATTATTAATTTTATAGAATAAATAGGTTTTCTGGTTTTCTAGCAGTGGCCTTGTAACAAGTTCAGAAGATCAGTGAACCTTAAAAACACGTTTTTCATTCTGGTCCTGTCAGTGGTGAAGAGCAAAGGGGTCCTTAAGGTATTCAATTACAAGGGCCCCTCTGAAAGTAATGCCTCCTATTTTATTGTGTTGGCCCATGATGTCAGAGGTGGATGTTGGTGGTATGGCAGTAGAACTAGAACCTTCCCACCAGTACTCTGTTACATGTTGTTGTGTGACAGATGGCATTGACATGGAAGTGTGAATGAAGCAAAGGTGTAGAATTGAATTCCTTCATGCATGAAGAAATGTCACCCATTGATATTTATCAACACTCTAAAGGTATTTATCTCTACATTTGTAGAGACCAACCAGTGAATGTGAGTGCAGTGACACACTGGGTGTTTCAACAGTGGTGATGATGAAGATAGGTCACCTCCAGGGGTATAGACTTTTACAAGCGTGACATGCAGGCTTGTGTTCATTGCTGGCAAAAATGCATAGGTAGTGGTGGTGACTATATTGAAAAATGTTTTGTAGATGAATTTGCTCTATCAAATAGTGTTATTGTGCTCTTTGTATCTGTTGTAATTTCCATGGAAATAAATTATTTTTGGAATAACCTATGTGCAAAGATATGAGCTGCTAACAGGACGAGGCCAGCCCTACACTGGGATTCGGAGTAGGTGGGTGGTTGGGGATTGTCGTAAGATTTGACCTTTGCCTTTGTTTCAGGAGTGATGCTGGCAGTGCTGCTTGCCAAAGCTGTGAGTTTTAGGAGCAACAGAAGCAAGCTAGTGAGAGAAATAGGTAAATCATTGTTGCCTCTGTCTGTGCATACTGTGTGAAGATAGCTTCAGGGGGAGAAAGATTAAAAAGAATAAAATGAGAAGAACAAAGAATAGTTAGACAGGAAAGCCTGTCTCCCAGGCAAGAGACAGGTTGTACAGAACATGCCATTCTGTGCTTTTTCTTCCTGATCTCCTGGGCTGCTGCACAGTAAGTGTTGCCTCTCTGCCATAAATTCGAAATGAAATGATTGTTTCTGCATTTGCCAGTGGACCAGATGTTTGTATTTCTTATCAATGATCAGACAGGTGTTGTTTGCACAGCATCATTGCTGAGATTTTTTCTTCTTTCTTTCACATCATCCTGTTGGATGGCATCATTCCAAGGGATGTCACTGTGGTGGATAATCAGAGAACTTTGCAGTATACAGAACTGATACTGGGGATTTGAGGCTTTTGTTTTGTCCCTGCAAAACACAGAGGAATTAATGAAGGAAAGCAGCTTTCAAAATGTTCAAAATGATTACAGGTGATCTTGTCTGTCTGAAATGGTGTTGGTGATGCAGATTTTGGAAGTTGCAGAATTAAATGTCTCTGTAAGACCAGTAGGAAAACTTCAGTCTAAAGAAGTTCTGTATATTTATAACAGAAGAAATAACAGCAATGTTTTCCATGACAGATTTTGTATTCTATTGCTTCCTATGAATTTGCTTATTTGGGGTAAAAGTTGGTTTCTGTTCTCCTATTCTAAAACTGATGAGACAAAACTTTTAAGTGGCAAATTCACAAGATAAGTTATCTTATGGTTTCTGTTTCAAATCTCTTACTGTAACTGCTAGTTTGTTCTTTATTTAGGATTCAGACAGCCTTCTAGGAGACTTGCACTTAATTTGCTATTAAAATGCAACTTAGTCATCCAAGTGAGTTGGAGCTGGTGCTGCTGACTGCAGCAATACTGAAATATTGAAACGTTTTTAAAAAGCTAAGCCCTGACCTCCTTAATTGTTTTTAAAAAAGGAGAGATAACACTGCTTCTCTGAAGCAAAAAAAAAACATACTGTGACGCAGAGAGCTATCTTTGTACAGCAGGAGCTATCTGTGTGTCTCATACAACACAGCGTGCTGTCAACCAAATTACAATCTCTTGTGGTTCTCAGACTGAGAAATTGGCTAAATATAATGTATGCAGGAAATATAAAGTATTGCCTGTTCAGGAGCTATAGAAATTGTTGGGGCAAATATCAATTGATACTTTGTTCACATGTGTTTTTCTGTGTTTAGGTCAGCCTGGTTAAGTGTTGCTAGCAGAGCACGCAATATCTACTTCTGTTGTTTGAAAAAAAAACTCCTAGTCTTGGGAGGGGGGTGAATTTCAGCTGGTATTTTACAGCAAAGACTTCTGTAATGAATTAAGTCTTATGAAAGAATCATGCTTCATTACATTTGAAAAACTTACTTATGCAGTTAGGTGCTCTATGGCTGGATTAATGAGTAACTTCTACCTCAATTAGTTGATGTTCTCCTGTGGTGCAATATTTGGGCTTCTTTGTCACTATAAAAACTCTCCTTGTTTTCAGACTGTCACTTCGAACCCCAAGATGTGCATTACTAACAGTGAGCTGCTGTTACTCCTCATGGGGGTTATTTGTATTACAGAGTCCCGTGCTGTATCACACACTCTTCAGAAAGGTAGGATCAAAGTTTCACATCTAGCTTTAACAATTTTCTACACACTAAAGGTTTTGTTTGTAGGCAGTGAGGGCAGTGACTGCTGAAACAAAGGAGCTGCAACAGTTTCACCCACTGGGATTTTGATCCTGAGTGGTGGTAGATGAGGTACAAGGTAGTGTTAGAATAACTGGTATGGTTTTAATTCCCTGGTTTTATTCCATTCCTCTTTTTTAATTCCTTGCTTTTATTCCATTCCAAGTCTGTAATATAATGTTATTTTTAATGAGTAATTTTCAAGCAACTTCTGGCTGATTTATTGATGATTCAGAATGAGTAAAATAAATATGAATTATAAATAACTAAATTAACTACTCTCAAAACTGCAACAGATTAATGAAGGTCCTAATTTGGCAAGTTACCTGTGGGATGCAAACAAAATATGAGTCTTCCCTTACGTTGTCTCGGATCTTAAGATCCAGAATATACTTCTTTTTGGCAAAGTTAGTAAAATTGCAATTGTTCTCTTTCCTTTGTGAAGAATTACTGATCTACAGCAAACTAGAAAAGAAAGCACTGATTTTATGCTTCCATTTTAGATTTGCAGCTTGATTTCCTTCCTAAGTTCTGCAGAGCACTTTCTTCATTGCAGAATTCTATTCTGGCTGTCAAAACAGATACGGTATCTAAAGCATTATAATCTGCTCATTTCAGCAGTCCAACATGTAGCAGCATGTCTGTCTGTACGACGTTCTCTTGCTTCATTACAGAGCCATACAGGTGAAACTGATGCAGCTTACATAGAAATTTCTCATCCAACCAATGATGATTTTATTTTTTTCCCCCATTTTTAAACACAGGACCATATTCTTTTTGGTACAAGCTAAATCTCTGTATAAAAATGTTGTCTTGGGGTCCTTTTTTTTTCTTTCCTCACTTCATATTTGCACATGGCAGTGCAGTGACTTATCCCATTGTGGATTTAGGCTGGGCAGCTCATTATAAACTGTGGTTCCTGCCCTAGTAGAGGCACTGCACCTGACCTATGTTTCAGGCTGTCTTCCAATTGTATTTTGCTCAAAAGTGGAAAAAATAAATCTAGATTAAATCATTCCTTCTTTTTCTTGTTTTTACTTCTCAGATCCTAAGTGCGGGCAGAAAGTTCATGAGACAAGACCATGGAGTGACTTTAACCTTTTCACTCGGATTGTTGGGGGGAACCAGGTGAAACAGGGCTCACATCCATGGCAGGTTTGTAGAAGCAAATGTGGTTTTATCTTCGGAACAAAGCCCTTCTTTCTTTGTTTTTACAGAAATGAGAAAAGAAGAAAACCCGTTATACTTTGTTATACTTTGTACTTATTTCCACTTAGAATGTATCACTGAGCTCTGCTCTGTTTTTCAGTGGAGCAGACAGAGAGGATATAGATCTGTTATGATCTATGACAAACCTTTGCTTATCATTTATTATCTCATCATTAGTTCTGAAAAGAGTGTGTTTAGATTAGGCTGTGTAAAGAGGCACGAGTGAAACTGGTCAGAAATAAAAGAACACCTCAGCACCCCAACCATTGTCTAGGATCACAGACTTGCAGTTTGGAAGATGGAATACCTCATGAAGCTTGGAGTTTTAAGTTTAGAACGAATTGGATAAAGACTGTGGTATAAACATCAAAGACTCTCTCATGCTCTGATTTGCCCAGTGACCTACAAAGGAAAAATTCTCAACTTACTGGTAACCTTTACACAATCTTGAGTAATTCAGTGAATTGGTATCTGTTACATGTATGTTGTTTTTATCCAGGTACGAAGTCACAACCAAGGGAGACAGCAAAGTTTAGAATCACTTATGCTCAAGGAACATAAGAATACCATCAAAATCTGTTTGACTGAAGTGCTGCATGAACCTTAGCTATGTGAATCTTTAAAGAATACCTGCGTACACAACTCTGTCCTTTCTTTCTCAAGTGCAGTCAAAGCAGATGTAAAGATCTTGTGTATTTAACATGTCTTTATGTGAAATAGGTTTCCTTGAAACGAAGAGAAAAGCATTTCTGTGGAGGCACCATAGTTTCTGCTCAGTGGGTGGTCACGGCAGCTCACTGCGTCGCAGACAGGTATGGATGCAATCCATGGATCACATTGCATTGTGGAGCAGGCTGCAGGCGCAAAAAAACGTTGAGTGTAAAAACTTGTATAATGTAGTGTCTTTTTCTGGAGATTGCTCATGGATGCTGCTCTTTCATTTGTAACTAGCATTTCCCACTTTTTATCAGAAAGGGAGAAATACCTTTGAACATTCCATAAATAAGAATAAATGGCCTTTCAATTCGGATAGAGACTGATTTTGAAATTGTAGATCACAGAATAACAGGATCACAGAATTGTAGGGGTTGGAAGGGACCTCCAGAGATCATCGAGTCCAACCCCCCTGCCAGAGCAGGTTCCCTACACCAGGTCACACAGGTTGGCATCCAGGCAGGTCTTGAACATCTCCAGAGCAGGAGACTCCACCACCTCCCTGGGCAGCCTGTTCCAGTGCTCCGTCACCTCACTGTAAAGAAGTTCTTGCGCATGTTTGTGCGGAACTTCCTATGCTCCAGTTTCTGGCCGTTTCCCCTTGTCCTGTCTCCACTCACCACTGAAAAGAGTCCGGCCTCGCCATTCTGCCCCCCACACCTTAGATATTTATAGACCTGGATCAGGTCCCCTCTCAGTCTTCTTTTCTCAAGGCTGAACAGACCCAGTTCACTCAGCCTTTCTTCATAGCAGAGATGCTCCAGGCCCTTCACCATCTTTGTGGCCCTCCGCTGGGCTCTTTCCAAGAGATCCCTGTCTGTTTTATACTGGGGAGCCCAGAACTGGACGCAGTACTCCATATGAGGCCTTACCAGGGCAGAGCAGAGGGGGAGGATCACCTCCTTTGACCTGCTGGCCACGCTCTTTTTAATGCACCCCAGGATGCCATTGGCCCTCTTGGCCACAAGGGCACACTGCTGGCTCATGGCCAACCTGTCATCCACCAGGACACCCAGGTCCCTCTCCGAAGAGCTCCCCTCCAGCAGCTCATCCCCCAACCTGTACTGGTGCATGCAATTATTCCTCCCCAGATAGAAGTCTAATATCACGATAACCTACTTAAGATTATCAGGTGATTACAATATTTTTTTTCAGAGGTAGAAGCTGGCATTATATATTCAATTAAATGTTGAATAGACAAGTACTGATCTCTTGCATACTGATAATTCAGCCTATGCTCTAAAAAAAAAAATAATTAACTAGGCAAGATTTTGGTTGTGCCTTCACAGAGATTATAATGATCTTGTAGCCAATACTTTGTACTAATGAATCATTTGGAATTATAAATTTGGTCTTTATTGGACATGGTATGTGATCCCATCTTGGTTAAACTACCCAAAAACTGAAGCTTGTGTTAACTGCAGAAAGACAGGCAGTAACTGAATTAGTATGAAGTCTCTTCATACAGTAAGTCATCAGGCTGATGAATAAATTTGAAGCAGAATAGTAAATTTATCATGGTGGCTTGTGGATTTTTTTGTTTTGTTTTGTTTTTTTGATTCCTTGCTGCATGTTGGCTCTTGTGAGGCCTCATCTGGAGTACTCAGTCCAGACCTGGAGATACCAGTATGAGAAAGATGCAGAACTCTTGGAATGGGTCCAGAGGAGGGCCACTAAGATGATCCGAGGGCTGGAGCACCGCTCCTATGAAGAAGGGTTGAGGGAACTGGACTTGTTTAGTTTGGCAAAGAGAAGGCTCTGGGGAGACCTCATTATGACCCTCCAGTACTTGAAGGGAGCATAAAAACAGGAGGGGGAATAGCTGTTTACAAGGGTGGGTAGTGATAGGACAAGGGGGAATGGTTGTGATAGGACAAGGGGGAATGGTTGTAAACTGAGACAGGGTTAGGTTAGATATTAGGAGGAAGTTTTTCACTCAGAGGGTGGTGACACACTGGAACAGGTTGCCCAAGGAGGCTGTGGACATTCAATTCCTTGAGGCATTCAAGGCCAGGCTGGTTGTGGCTCTGGGCAGCCTGGTCTGCTGGTTGGTGACCCTGCACACAGCAGGGGGTTGGAACTGGATGATCATTGTGGTCCTTTTCAACCCAGGCCATTCTATGCTTCTATGATGATTCTATGTTTTGAGTTGGTACTAGGAACCCTAAGTCAGGATTCACAACATTTTTGAAACATGAACTGCGAATGCTAGAGAAGTGGTCTTAGATTTTTTTCTGTACTTCTTCCACTGGAGAAGCAGTGTGATCAATCAACTTTAAACACAAGAATCGGATCTCATTCTTTAGCAGATCACTTAAATACCGATAGGAGTGAAGGAAATCTTATTTTTTCACTGTTCTTGTACCTCCCAGTTTCTAATGTAGGGCTGATTCAACTTGTGTTGACTGCACATACTATACTCTAAAATCTGAAGATGAAAGGTATTAGATACCATTAGTAAAACTCTTCTGTTTACAAACAACTACATTTTCCCTTTCATTTTGAAGATTCTGTAGTTGAATTTTTATTTTGCAATTCTTACAGGAACCTACTCAAGTATTTGAACGTCACTGCAGGAGAGCATGACTTAAGAATCAGGGAGAATGGAGAGCAGACATTGCCTGTTAAATATATCATTAAACATCCAAACTTTGACCCACGAAGGCCGATGAACTATGACATAGCCCTTCTTAAGCTGGATGGAACCTTCAACTTCAGTAAGATCATATTTATCTGTGGCTAAAATAAAGAAGCAGCAGCACAGATAAATTATCGAATGATAGATGAAGTTTTAAATGCCATAGAAATAATTCCCTTTTTAAAAAGTGAGAAATAAAACACGGGATTTTTTGTTACTTTTTTATTTTTATTTTATGATGATGCTCTTTCAAATAGTTATCAAGAAATTTCATGTATGGCAGGTTCATCAGTTTTGCCGGCATGCCTTCCTGATCCAGGTGAAAAATTTGAAGCGGGATATATCTGCACTACTTGTGGCTGGGGCCGTTTAAGAGAGAGTAAGTTACTGGAATTTTTCTTTGACATTCTGATTTCACAGTGTTTTTGTCAGTCATTCATTCCTGTGTTCATCCCTTTCTTAAAATGGGCAATGAATTGTGAAGCAAATCCGTATCTGCATAGAAAGCAGATACAGATACTGTCTTCAGATCAGTGAATGTTTTCTTGTCAGATTTTCTTACTCAATTTTAGATACTTTTTTTAGAATTCTCTCTGTTCCAGTATGCAGTGTTTATTTCTGAAGCTAAGAGCTTGACTGCGTAAGCTGTACAGAGACCAGAAGTAACTGTCAACTGGGAATAAGCTTATAATCTCAAATTCGAATCTCTGCGGGCTTCTGTCTATCCGTAAACTGTTTCAAAATGGATCACAAAAATATATGGACCTGTATATTATGTTGGAGACACTTTGAAATTTATTCAAGTAAAACTGCTTATATATGCAAAACTGTATGTTTATCAAAACATGCTCATAGCCATAGGAAGATATGGAGCAAGTTTTCAGCGTGTTTTTCTTTGTGTATTAGCAGTGACATTAAAAGTTCACCACTCAGTATTTCATTTTGAACGATTTTTTTTTGTTCCAGATGGAGTGCTCCCTCAGGTTCTATATGAAGTCAATCTACCAATTCTAAATAGTAGGGAATGTTCAACAGCATTGTCAACTTTAAAGAAGCCCATCCAAGGTGACACTATACTGTGTGCTGGATTTCCAGATGGAGGAAAAGATGCCTGCCAGGTCAGTTGAACAAAGAGCCTTGTGTACTTGAACTATTTCTCAGAAACTCAAGTTTCTAAGTGCCTAAATGAATAAATGTAATTTTGTATTCTATTTCAATGTGTGAATTCTTTAAAAGCATCTATATGGGAGAACACAATTCCATGAAACTATTTTAATTATTGTGTGAATTGCACGACAGGTTCCTGACAGCAACTTCACAATGTATCCCAGTGCTGTGATGTTTAGGGCTTTTAAACTTCAAAGCACTTGATAAAAACATTGAGTAACAAATGTTCCTAGCGTAGTATGCAGGAAGTTAGAAAATACTGCCTTGGAAAACAAGGGAAAAAAAAGATGATTCCTTGTCTTGGGAAAATTTTAAAATGGCAAAACAAACAGTCTCCTTGCTCCTTTTGTCATGAGTAAATGACAAATAAATTCATCTCTCCTGTCATCACAATCCTGACTAAACACAGTAAAAAGGAAAGTCTTTTTTTTAATGTTTTTTTTGTTTGGTTGGTTGTTTGGTTGGTTGTTCCTTTTTTTTCTTCCAAATGACTTCTCCCTGTGTGGCAGGTTTATTGCTGCACTACAAAAGACGACTTAACAAACTCTTCAAGGCTAGCTCAGTGGTACCCGTGCTCTTTTTGTGACCTGTGAGTTTTGGGGGTTCTTACAGGGAGACTCTGGGGGTCCTCTCTTGTGCCAACGTAAGCACGGTGCCTGGATTCTCGTTGGTGTGATTTCCTGGGGGATGGGATGTGCTCGTGGCTGGAGAGGTAATGAGAAGAGGAAACATTATGAAAGAGGGTCTCCTGGAATATTCACAGACCTCAGTGCAGTGCTTTACTGGATTCAAGAAAATATGAGCGCTGGTATTAAGTCTCTATAAACATTTCTCTCTCACCTCTGTCGCTTTTCTGTCTCATAATCATATTTCATTTAATTTTACCGTTTTCAAGATATAGTACTCATATTTCTCCCACTAGAAACTGGCTTCAACTGATGATTAGGAAAAAAAAAAAAGGACCTTCGTATTGTCAAAAAAAAATGAATAGGGTTTAGTTTCTGAAAAATATGTTCTCAGTTAAAGGAAAATAAGAGAAAGGCAATGTCTTTTCTATATGAACTTACAATAATGGATCACTGAGTTTTCAAGAAAAAAAAATATTAACCAAAATTACTATAGTAACTGAAGATTATTGGCTCCAATGAGCAGCAAAAGTGATTTGGTAAATGAAATGGGCAGTCAGTTCTCAGTTGCATTATGCTAGGTTTCACTACCCACTTTTTTACACCATAGCACTGGTGCAAAGAATCTTGGCTGTTACTGCAGTCAGGCTTAGCATCTCTGTGTCCCTGGTAATAAGGTGGTAGTTGGATTCTGCTACCCTACCTTGAGATGTGTAGTTCATCAGGTATATACAGAGAGAATGCTGCTCAGACTGAGAGGCCAATCCATGTATTATTAATTCTAGATGTATCTTCTCTAGAGTTCGTTATTTAGAAGCCAGCTCTGCCTGAACTTGCAATTTTGATTTCAGCCATAGTTTACTGTAGGCACGATGTCCTCAAGAATTCAAACTTTCATCAGTGCTAGCTGTATCAACCTACTATCTCACACTGTTAAAAAAAGCCTACACTGTGAATGAGAAACTGTAATAACACTTTTTTTTTTCACTCCTTTCCCTACCCGTCCTTCATTAGATCTGAAAATGAAAAGTTCTACACGTGAGTAGTATTTTTTCAACATTTTGTATCTGCATTAGAATCTAACCAGCCTTCTCAAATAATCTCATATGTGATCTGCAAAGAAAAAAACGTATTTATAGTATGACTTATTAATACACTTTAAAATGTATACTTTAAATACATAGGGTTTTTTTTCTAGCTTAGTAAGGAATTTCCTGAAGAAAGATAGTACATATGTGCAGGTGACTTCAAAAAGGAATTTCCCTTAAGACAGATAAGGCATTAATTTATTGAAATGCAAATAGAATTAATGGGAAAAAAATGTAGAACAGAACATCAAGCAACGCATGAAATCTAATTAATGATGTTGGTTCTGTGCATGAAAGCATAGATTCTAAACAGAAAACATCAGGTAAAATTGATAGTAGTTTCTGCTCATCTGTGATGAATCTATCTACTTATCTGGTGTCTATTTCTGTGAATGGAATGTAAAAACAAACAAACAAAAAATTGTTTTCATCTATTCCTGAATATAATTTATTTAACAGCTGAGGTTATATTTTGATTCCGTGTGTGTACTTTGTTTTTGTCTTGCTAGCTTAGCTTGGCAAGGAGAAGGAAAGGCAAAGAGGAGGCATTTTTACGGGTATCTGTGGTTTCTAGCAGTAGTCATCCAGAGAAAACCACTTTTGCTTCCTCCAGTCCCCTATTGTACTGTTGCAAAAGTGTTCTGCTGCAAAACAGCTAATAAGTTTATTACAAATGGTCAGCAATAAAAGCATAATCCTGAGGTATGTGTTTTTCCTGTCCAAAAAATCCTGATACCAAAATCATCATTTAACAAATACTTTTATTAGGGTGATAAGAAAGCACCGCTGTTTTTACAGTGGCAGAGCTTGGCTTTTGCCTCTAAATTATGTGATTTAAAAGTGACTTGCTATCATTTCAAATAGAAGAGATGGAAGACCTAACGTAATTCTGCCATCAGAAACAAGGTACAGATGAACAGTCTTACGTCCCACAATATTATCTAGATGTTTGGTGTAACAGAGGACTGTGTATGTGTCAAACCTGATTCTTGTTCTAACTCTACAATGCAGCATTTTGTAGTGTTCAGGATGGCAAGCTCCCAGACAGTGAAGGAGAATTAAATTTTCCTGGAAGTTCTGAACAGTTCTATCAAAGCCATCAGTGAGTAGACAAAACACAGACTTCCCAGAAGATCTTTCTGGTACCTGTGTTGCTTTTGTTTTTTTCTTCCAGTTTTGTGAATGGGAACAAATTTGTCATTACAGGTTGTGTGTATGGACTCTGTTTGTATCAGAAGGAAATTATATATTGCTTCGTTTTTCCCACTTCGATATAGAGCTGGAAACGTTTTGCGACTATGATTCTTTATCAGTCTATTCAAAAGACAACAGACTTGTTGGTGAGTTGTTGTCTTTTTATTCTATAAAATAATGTCAGTGTATCCTTTCATTCTAACAGCAATTGAACACAGAGAGAACATTTCAGTTGACGTTTTACTCACATTTTCACGATAGAATTCTGTGTGACCTGGTCTAAACTGAAAGATGACAGATTGGAAGGGGGGGGAAAGAATGGAAAAATGCCTGTTGGGGAACTGTGTCAGCATATGAATTGCTGATGTCAAGGATTTTTAAATGTGCATCTTTTATTTGTGCTAACGGATTAATAGGCAATAGGAATAGAAAGACAATTTCTTTTTCAGCTACAAAGTTTTATAAGCAAGTGCTAGAAATTTTACAGCAGAGTTTTCTCAAATGACTGAAGACTTTAAACAGTGATTATTCTCTGATATTTTGTTTCAGGGAAATTCTGTGGAGGAGATCTTCCATTACCTATTTTGATTGGGTCCGACAATATAAGGCTGAAATTTGTTTCTGACAACAAGGATCATGGGACTGGTTTTTCTATGACTTATAAAGCTCTTACACCACGTATCCATCCTGGTAAGTCTAACTCAGAGAAAGCTTCTGTGATTTTTCCTAAGCGGATGCCATTGTGAACAAGGTAATTGTGCTTTGGCTGATGCGTGGCATTGTGGAAAAACTGAGATGCCAGTAAGAGATAGGGACAGATGCTGTTCAGAAAAAAACCCTCCTGTTACTTTGCCTCTTCCCTAAATCCTCTAGAATGATTTAATTTCCTTCTCCACTTACAGACAGTTTTAGAAATTAATAGAATCAATCACACAAGCCAAATATCCAGTGAAAGCTACTTTCAATTTTGCTCTGCAGAGTGGTTTATCATCACTAGGGGGCAGGTACAAGTGTCATCTCCTGAGTCTGGACAGTACTTACAAAAACAGACACCTGTTGTTTCTGTTTCTGTAGCTTTTTCAGTCAGTTTCATTCCTTTATGATCTGCAAGGGCAGGGAGGAATCCCCTCTGGGGGGACTTGCCACTGCTTAGCAAGAAAGTCATCCCTGCTGATTCCATACCTCCACTTTCATTTCCAAATAAAATTGGCAAATGTTCTTCTGACGTGCCTGTGTCCTGCACTTCTATCACTCCCATACAGGTAACTCACTCTGCAGCACACTGCCTGTATCACAGGGGACGTGCTGTAGTCACGACTGAACGTCTCTTCTGCCTGGGAACAGATTGAAAACATTTTGTTATGTTTTTCTTGCAGAAGGATTTGGCTTGCTGCTGTTTTCCTATTTCTGTGTGAAAGCACCACAAGAGGTTTTCTGGGTTTCTTTTTTCCCTGTTGTGTGTGTGAATAGTTTAATAGGTGCCTCAATTTTTGTTTCTTGATGGATTTCTAGATTCTGGCTGTGAGTCCTTAGCTGTCCTTTTTGAAGAAGGAGTGTTGCAAAGTATGCACTATCCAGAGCACTACAGCAATCTGGCAGACTGTCAATGGATTATTTGTGCGCCAGAAGACCATGTAATAAAGGTAAAGTATGTGCCCTTCTTGTGTTTGTGGAATGAAAGTGGGCATCATTTAGTTGACAAGAAAGTGTGCAGCTAAAGACGAGCAAGATCTAGCAACATAAGCTTGAATAATGCTGTTGGACACACTTGAGAGAAATCCCTTTCTGTCCCAAAAGGCAGATAGGTTTGGACTTCTCCTTTGGGTTATAGTAAAATAGGATTTCCTGGTTTAAATTTTACCATGATGCTTTCTTCTATCAAATTTAATGTTATGTGAGGGGCCTGAACACCACAGAGATCAGACTTTAAGAGAATCCTTGAGATTATTAAAGACATTATTTAGAGCTTTGAATTCCAGTTCGTGAATTCAACAGGATTCACTTTCTTCTTCTTCTTCTTCTTCTTCTTCTTTTTTTTTTTTTTTAAAGCTTACATACCAGTCTTTTGAAGTAGAAGAGAGTGAAGATTGTTCTTATGATGCTGTTACTGTGTATGAAGATGTGGAAAAAGAAGAGGAAATTGGTTTGGCTTTTAATTTTGGCATACTTTGGGGACCTATTATTTCTGTGACTTTCAGTAGCCTTCTTTTACAGTGTAAACTGAAATTTACCTCCAGAGTCTCAGGTGTTGCTGCAGGTACTAATTTCAGTACCTTGAAAGTGCTTGCTTGTATTGGTTCTTCCGTTCCTCTTATGGATACAAAAAGTCATCTAGCAACAGTTGTGTGCATTTACATTCTATATGGAATGCAATCTGAATTCATGTCTATTTAAAAAATAAAATGGAGGGGGGAGAGGCATAAGGCTGTCATTTGTTTTTATAGTAAATAAATGATGCCAGGCAGAAAGCACCCAGGAATTCTCCCTTTCAGCATCCAATTCTTCACTCAAGATGAATGTTCATGCAATTCTCATACAATGCTTAGCTGGAGATTCCTTTGGCTTACATCAAAAGAAGGAAAGACTTGTGCCACTCAAGTCTGATACTGGTACTAAGGTTAGCACTGGCAGATGTTAGTGTTTCAATGCTGACAAGGAAACCCAAGTTTCCAATGTAATCTACATGCACTGGCAACCTACGACTACAAGTGCTGCCATAATATCTTGTGAAATAATGCCAAGAATCTCCTTGTTCTTGTGAGATAATTACTGAACAAACTGACAGAAATAGTAGAACAGTTGTTCAGCCTCCATTGGCTTATCCGACACTCTCTCGTGCACAGTTTTGGGTTTGTTTTACCCTCTCGTGTAACAGCTGGAATGCACATTCTGTGTATGCACTGTTGAAAAAGGTAAATATGAAAAACTACCTTTTAATCCTGTGTGAACCTTTGCTTTCTCATTTTTAGCTAGATCATGTGGGTTTGTCCTACCAGCGCCTGTTCTAAGCTCCTCTTCCATGATGCTGGTTGTCTTTCACTCTGATGAAACAGAGAACTTTGAAGGATTCAGAGCTACAATCACTTTTGTACATGTTACAGGTAATAGAATTCCGTAACTTGGGAGGCTGCCTCACTAGGGCAGCAGAAAGGGCTCTGCAGTGAATAGTGATATTCAGAATGATTTTGCTCTAGGAGATTTCACCTAATGCATTGTTTCAGTGAAAAAATCTTTATTGTGATCTTCTGAAGGATTGAGCAGAGGATCAGATGAGTGGGTAAAGAAAAACAATGAATCTCCCCCAAACCTCAGGGTTTTGTTTTGTGTAAAGTATTCTGGTACATTTTAAATGGTTCTTTACTACCATGTGAAGTTGTAATAACATAGATTCCTCAGGTACAAATCTATTCCTTTCTCAGAAATGATTATAAAGGAAATAAAAATTATTTTGTAGTTAAAAAATATTATTCGGGACAGCCTGCTAACACAGTTGCTGTTTTCATTTCCTAGATTTAGATACCTTGGATTCTGCTAGTGTACAAGTATTTGAAAATACGAATATGACCGAAGAAGAACTGCAGGTTACAGCAGGTTAGTCGACCTGAATTCTTATTTCTTCATGGGAATGTGAAGTACCTCTTGGACTGCAACTTAAATGCCATTTTCTCCAAATGTTTCAGAACTGCACTCTGCATTGTCTCAAGATGTTTCATTTTCGTGCCAAGGAAATAAAAAGATGAATAGTAATGTTTCTGTGTTTTAGCTTTCAAATGACAGAACCTGTTTCTCTTGTTTCCTTCAGCATCTTGAATTATTTAGAACAATACAATGACATTATTTCAGCCTGCAAGTCAAAATAGACACTGCTTTATGGAAGATGATTGCAAAGACTGCAGGATAGCTGGAATTAATAACTGGAGTTTTAAAGCTTTTTTTGTTCTTGCCTCTAGTAGTTTATGAAGAATGGAATATGTTTGCATTCATTGTAGATCTGAGACTAAAACTTTTGAAGTGCCATAGGTTGCTTTCACCTCATTGATGCTCACCTTTGGCAAAAAGCACCTCCTTGTGCTGTCTCTAAACATGTGGGTAATTTCTAAGGAGAGAATTTGAAAGATGTAGAAAAAAGCATTGGGGGGGAAGCCTGGCAGTTGTGGGGTGGCTCTTAAATGAGCTGTTCTTTGCCTCATCAATCTTAACCTCTGAAAATCTTCTTGAGACATTAACCTTTTCTTTTTTAGATGATGTTTGTGGAATGCCTTCAAATCAGCCGAGATTCATCTTCAGTAGGATAATTGGAGGTGAAGAGGCTGTACCACACTCATGGCCTTGGCAGGTCAGCATACAAATTTCAGATCAACATATCTGTGGAGGAGCAGTTGTTGCCAAAGAATGGATTGTCACAGCTGCTCACTGCTTTAATTCTAAGTAAGTACACTTGGATGAATCCTCTGGGAATGTCTGCATTACACAATGAATCTCTGCAGGGTAATATTTGTGCCCGGGGAGATTGGCACAGTATTCTTCTGCTCCACACACATGTACTACGATTAGTGTGGCTACCTAAGAAATAACCTACTCTGTAGGCTTGGTTTTCATTCAGATCAGTTTGCAGAATGTATGTGAGGATACTTGTCATCCATCAATTATTCTTGGATAACTTCTCTCTGGATCCTTTGTAAAGGAGCATTATTTCCTCAAGATGTTAAGAGGACACAGAGGAAGCTTTTGTGGCCAGAGTTGATGCTATTTCCTTACTAGGAAGCTATCTATCTGTTAGTTCAGATCACATGGATGTTTTTCTGTTTTTATGGACAGAAGCCAAGAAGGTACTATGTGTGACTTTCAGATTCTTTAAAATATTTTCTAAAATGCAAATTGATTATTCTTGTAGGCTGAACTGACTCTTTTCCAGTTTCAAATGAATCATAAATACATTAATTTAAACTTCATATACTTTGGCTCTTAAGTCATTAAACTTTTCTTTTTATTTTTTATTTTTTTTTATTTTTTTTTAAATCCTCCCAGGATTGATGGTAACTCAGTATTCTGATTCAATTTTTAAATAAGTTGCAATTACTGAAAATGAGGGTAAAATTTCAAAAGCCCCAGATGCCAAATATGCTCAGATATCTCTATTTTCTGTTGGAACTTGAAATGAAAATGCTGTTTTGAAATTTGGACTTTGGCTTTTAGGTTTCTAAATATCAATTTGCAAAATATTGTCAAGAGCATTATTGTAGTGTGGTGGAAGTATGGCTTTAAGAGCCATGGTATGGAGGATTTCTCTATTGCATGCTGCAATCACATCAGAATTTGTGTGTGTGGCTTAATGTGATTTCATCAGGGAGTTACGACACCTTTCAATGTGTGAGAGGGTTTGGTTATGAAAACAGAGGATGAAATATTTCTGTTGCATTTGTTCATATCATTTATTTGATGGTATGAGTTATTGTGCTTTAAGTGTTATCTATTTTTCTCTTTATGATAGAAACCAGCACCATCCCTGGAATGGTGCTGGCCATGATGTGGAGGCGCTGAGTTCTACAACAGGCAGCCTCAGTCTTTATGAACCTGATCTTTCTCTTAGTTCACCGTTTGAGGGATGCCATGGCCTCATCACGAGAATGTTTCATGCTCTCTTGAAGTCAGTAAGAAGATTTCCATAGATTTTCATGGGAATGTTAGCCCAGGAATATATAGGGCTTTCAAACTTATTTTGGATGGGGGAGATTATAAGAGTCTTGCATTTTAGGAATGTTGTTATAACAGCCTGAGAATGTATTTATCCCTTCCCCCCCCCCTTTTTTTTTGAGGGAACTCTTCAGAAACTTATGGATGGTGGTCACAGGAATTCATGATCTTACAGAGCAAGAATACAGACAGGTAATTAAGGTTCAGCTTAATAAGAAAATAAAAATAAATCTTGCCAAATTATTTTTAATGTAAATGCACCTCTCAGATTGCTTATGATGCAGCAATCTTTCAACCTGAATGCTGGTCTTAATCTGCACTTGCACAACAGTTTTTATGTGACTGCCAGGGAACTTGTATCAACACAGACCTGTGCGGTCATCAGTAACGAAATCTAAACCTTGGCATCCCAAAGGGTGCTTGAGTGAAGAGTATATTGTCTTTAGTACAAAGATAGAAATAATAAGGGCTAAAGGCACAGTTTTCCTGTTTACTCAGACTGGACTAATGTTTTTCCAAGACCCTCTGCCTCCACTCGCTGAATGGAGTTTCCTGCACGTTCCCTGATTCATATCTGAGAGCCGTAATCTTGACTTGTTAATGTAAGGAAGTTGATAACTTCAACAGCTGCTTTTAGATGTTTCTTTCTCCTCAAGCATCTTGCGTATACCCTGAAAATTTATAAAACCAAAGGCTTAAATTCCCAAGTTGTTGAGCAAATGTCAATGTCCTTACTTTCCTAGAAAAGATCAGTAAAGCAATACATTATACATCCGAGCTTTAACAAGATCACTATGGACTCTGACATTGCTTTACTGCAACTGGCTGAGCCCTTAGAATTCAACCACTATGTGCATCCTGTGTGTCTCCCTGCAAAGGAAGAAGTGGTTCAGCCCTCCAGTGTATGCATTGTCACAGGGTGGGGAGCACAGGAAGAAGGTACGTAGTCTTTGCCATTTTGAGGGTTGAGCAAACTGTGGCTGCATTTTGTAGTTTGTTCAATGTTGCAACATGAATTCTATCTGTACTTTTGATTCTTGGACTCCTGGATTTCACTTACATGAGTTCAGATGGTCTTGCATGGAAATGAGTAGAAATAAAGCAATCAGTTTGAAAGGAGGAGAGTCAAGCTGTTTTCTGGAAGCCTTAAATAAGCAGACTGTATAAAATCTAGAGATATGTAGAGGAGAGCAGTCCTGCTGTACTAAAAGAAAAAAGCAAAGGGAATAGGAGATATTTATCATTCTTTGTGATGAAAGGTGAGGCGGGCATCGTATCATTAATTAATGCCTCTGCCAGTTTCTAAAATGTCTTTTATTTCAAGATAGGGAAAAGAATAAAAAGTTGCATCAGCTGGAAGTTCCCATCTTGATGCTTGAAGCATGTCAGACCTATTACATAAATCTTCCGAGTAGAGTGACTCAGAGGATGATCTGTGCTGGGTTCCCTCTGGAAGAAGGCAAGGATTCATGCACAGTAAGTGGCTTTCTAATACTTGGGGTACAGCCAGATGGATTCTGAAAAAGAGGAGTATTGAAACCTCGCTATGAGCTGTTTTCTTGCAAACAGGCTGTAGATCAGGCAAATCCAACCTGCAGCCATCGCTCAGCAAGAAATAACCGGCACTGTTCTATTAACTCTGCTTCAGCTGAAAGCAGGACAGGAGAGTGCAGTGCAGTGCCAAACCATGTTACAGCATGGCATGTTGCCATGTTATGCTATATGGCATGTTTTATGCATGGCTAAACACGTGAGCAGCTTAGACCTATTTTTACCAAAGTTATCTTTTAAAAACATAAAGAGTGCTTTTAGATGGTAACCGCATTCCTTTGTCCTTGTACAGGGTGATTCTGGTGGCCCATTAGTTTGTCCTTCAAAAGATGGCTCAGGATTTTACACCCTTAATGGAATCACTAGCTGGGGCTTGGGCTGTGGAAGAAAGAGCTACCCAGGAGTATACACAAATGTTGGTGTTTTTGTGGACTGGATCAAGCAGAGCATTAACAGTAGCGGTATGTGTGGAAACGAACAAAAACAATTCAATGAATCTTTTGGCTATTGCTAAATACTTTGAGGCTACCTTTATTATTTATTCGAGGATACCATTTTTATACTTGGTGTGCCTAGCACTCCCTGAAATTTAAGCTGTTTAAAGTATGTCTGGTGAGTGCTCAGAAGTAGGTGAATCTAAATCAGTAGTCACTTCTGAAAACTTTATTGGTGTGTTGTTATTCATGTCTTTTGTGTTTTTCCTTCTGATGAACAGTGCTTTTCTATGAAAATCACTCTATGATTTTCATTACTGCTGCTTTGCTGCCTTATTTCTTAAGGCTAGCAAAGGTGAGGAGGTGTGAAATGACACGTGGCAACAGTGAGTCCACTTTGATAAGTATACTGACAGCCTTCGATGATCTTTCCAACATCTATCCTGTTTTTTTGTTTGCTTTTTTCTTTTTGTAGATCTGCCCGTTTTCATGGTGTAACTGTCAAAAGAGTTGTGATGGACTACACTGTAGAATGCTTCCAAAGTACAGATGTCACTAAAAGCAAAATTTGGTGAGAGCGTATTAGTTTGTGACTGCTGAAGAGATCATGGAGTAGCTGATACTTAACTTGATCAATTTACTGCTTGTTTTCCTGATTGAGACCTCAACCTTACATGTGTGTTCTTGGGATATACATAAGTTACTTACAGGTTTCTGACACTGTCAATCTATACTAGAAGGAAGGATAGGTCACCACACACTGTATGTCAAGCATGCACTCAAATGCAGCCCTGGAGAAAACAAAAATCTATGCAAAATAAGCATGTATGTTAAACAACTGAAGTCAGTTATCTTTCCCTAAGGTCAGTGAGAGTGTTAGTTCTGGCTCTGAGGGGACCCAGGCAGTGGTGGTACATCTTTAAGGATCAAAATAACACTGTCTAGTGATTAGTCATGTAAATCAATCCAATTGCTTGCAAAATAGTATTTTAATATGCACAAACGATGGTCCTTAGAAGCCTGATCTGACTGACTTGTGTATCTATTATTAGAATGATTTGACTACGTTATTTTCCTGTCACTGTAACAATTTTTCTACATATAATTGTGCCAAAAGAATTTTGGTACTTGGGAAGGTGCCACCAAAAGCAGAATAGATATAACTGTGCTCAAAACTGCTTGGGCTTTTGGGATTTAAGGAAGGTTCAGTAGGAGAGCCTGGATCACTTACATGAGAACCTTCTGGTCTGCTTACCTGGTGGAATCATCCATCGATGTGAATCCCCATGAGCAAGCCCAGCTTGTGTGTAAGATTGTGCAAGATTTTACCATCTTGTTAGATTAGAATTCCAGTGAAAGGCATTTTGTGGGCATTAAGTGACTTGTTATCAATGTAGGGAATTCTACACAGTAAGGGCTGTGCTTGGTGCAAACACTCATCTCTACGATCCACAGCTTTTCAATAACCTGGGGTACTGAGTATGTTTCTCGTGCTTGATCTAAGGTTTCCCTTACATCAACCATGGTCCCAGTTTAAATGTTTTAAATCAGTTACATACAGTATGTTATTTTAGGTCTGTTAATCTTAGCAGTGGAAGTATTGACAGAAGTCTGAAGGAAGCCTTGATGACCTGTTGAAAACATTTATAGCGTGGTGTTGCTATGTACTGTTCCAACTTTCTGTATTGAAGAAAAGTTGGTGTTTTGATTAAAAAGTAACATCACCTTTTCTGGATAAGAAAACTTCCTATTTTAACAAATTGCTTGTTGTTCAAACAGAGGTGTTCAAAAAGACAGGTGGTCCAGGCCAGCAGCCTCTGGCAGCATGCAGTAACTGGCAAATGTCCTAATTAATCTATCCGTATAATCAAAGAGGTACTGTGTAATTCACACGCTTCAAAGTGAGCACATCTGCTTGTAAATAGCAATTTGTTTAATGCCCAAATGGCTGCTTGCACTAGAAATTGTGATGACAGGCTCCAATTAGATTTGCAGGCTGTGCTGTGCACGGCTGTAGGTTTAGAAACTAGATCAGTATGGATAGCATAATAGGTGATATGAGTATAATCCTTTGACTCAATGGCCTGGAAAACAGCTAGGAAGGAAGTAAGATATCTTGTCTCTGCTGATATTAGTAGCAAAACATTTTGTGTCCAGATGTAAAGTCCTCAGTACAGGAGAGATGTGGACCTCGTGAAGCATGTCCAGGGGAGGGCCACAAGAATGAAAATACTGCATGGTGAGAGGACAAATTCAGATTGATTTCAAAGATGCATAAGGCATAGCTGTGTTATTGACAGGGTATGCTTGTTCCATCTCCGAGCTCTTGGAAGGGACTCCTGAAAAGGAATGGAGGGGAAATATCCTTTGTGGTTTTTCATTGTGGAAGCTTGTTATTGTTTGGTTCTGGGGGGAGTTGTTTGCTGATGCATCAAGTGTAACTGTGCTGGAAGTTGGGGTGCCTCATCTCTTGGATGTGGTTCTGTTTTACTTAATGGGAACAGGAGGACTTAAAGTACCTGTGAAGTTGTTTTTCTGTTTGTTCGTTGTTCTGCTTATTAAACAAATACAAGAAATAACTAGTTTTAAAAAAGTGCAGAAAACCAACCCCAAACCAAGAAAAAGCAGCGACGGGGGAACTGCAGGTGGTATCAGCTGCACTCCTATTGAATGCAATGGACATATGGATAGATGCAGAGTTAACATCACTTAAAATGCCTTATGTGTGTTAGGAGCTCTATCTTCCTGTATTTGATTTTACTGTTACAGTACTTATTTTTACTTGGCTGCATGACGCCGACCTTTTGCATTTCTGCTGGTGGTTTCTCAAGTAATCTCATTTTGCTGTTGTTATATCTTTCTAGGCTATTGAAAACTGCAAGGGTCTTTTATCAATAAAAGAAGCGTGAACTGTTTTGGGATGCAAATAAAATCTGATAGAAGAAATTAAAAACAATGCTTTCAATTGAGTTAATGCAGTGGGATTGTATTTTGGCTTGGACTCTTGTGTATATGTTGTACACTTTATTCTGACCTGTGGAACAGCACTCAGAGACTCACAGAGAATATGAATGTAAGGTAGTTTTATTAGATTTAAGGTTTATACCTTACAATATGCATGCTCATAATACTGCAAACTAAAAAAATGCCCACTCGCTCTGGACAGTGGGTTGTTCTGTTGTTAACTAATTCCACGAATGTTTTCTTGTTTTTCACTTCTTCTTGGACCTGTGCAGTGTAGTGTTTGGTCCTTTCGAGTTTTGTTTCTTTTGTAGTGATTGGTCCGGTTTCTTACCTGAAGGCGTTAGACCTGGAATCCCAGGTATTTTCTACTTCCCATCGTACCACCGACAAGCGAAAGCCTTGCCCCGTTTCTAGCAAGCCCCTCCCAAGTCCCGCCTATACCGAGCAAGCCACGCCTTAATTAATTAATCTCCGCCTTTTCTAAGTAGGCCACTCCTCAATCTCCGCCTCACCTCCCTTCAGCTGTTCTCATGAAATCCAAGTGTGGACCCCCTCTCCCCAACCCCTCTTCCCCCCCGTACAGCCCTGCCTACAACCCCCCTGTACAGGGACCACGCTAGCATCTCTGCCTGCAGTCAATTCCTTAGCAGTTGCAGGAGAGCTCCCTGAGCCCTGCAATCCAAAGGTAGACTGCTGCTGTAAAATGTCAGCAGGGCTCCCCGAGTGCTTAAAACCTGGACGTACACCTTTTGTATTGTTCTGTGTAAGTAAAAATGTCTTCTTTGCAACATGGCATGGAAGGGAATTTACAGACTTCAGGGAGGATGTTTCCGTATGAAAACAAAAAGCTGCTATCTTTGGTTGTGAACCCCCCACTGTCTGCCGACAGTGTGCACTGCGCTACCTGGCCTGGAGGAGCTGACTGCTGTCGCTTTGCAGGCAGGCGGCGGCACGCGGCGGCGGGCCGGAAGCCCCGCGCTGCCCACTGCGTTCTGCTGGGCACGTGGGAGGAGCAGAGCGGTGAGCGCTCGCCGCGTAGAGGCGCCCCGCCGCACCCCAGCGGGAAGCGCCGTACGAACACGAGGCATTGCGAGGCGGAGCCCGGAGGCGGGCGGGCGGAGAGCGGGAGAGTCGGTGCGCCTGTCGGCCGTGACCGCCGCCATGGAGCCGTTCTCGGTGAGCGGCCCGGAGCGGGGCCGGTGCGCGCGAGGGGTGGACCAGGTGTTCCCTGACCGCTGCCCTTCTCCCCGCAGGGTATCCCCACGGTCGTCGCGTTGGCCGCGGTGGCCGCGACGGCGCTGCTGCTGCTGCTGCTGAGAGGGGCGGGGCGGGGGCCGGGCCGCCCTGTCACGCTGCGGGACCCGCAGGCCAAATACCCGTTGCCGCTGGTGGGCAAAGAGGTGAGCGGTGGAGCGGCGGCGGGTCCCGGGGCTGCGGTACGCGGGGCGGAGCGGCGTTCCAGATGGGTCGCTGCCGGCGCGGTGGTTTCCCACCAAGGCTGGGCTCCTCGCTGTGTGCCTTGAAGTCCTGCCTTGGAGCTCCGTTAAACCCCAGGCTTCCGCGGAGTAGCTCTGCAACTCGCGTTGTCCTGCCCTGCCCGACCTTTGACCATAGGCAGCGCGGGTGCTGAGGGGGGCCGTGCAGCTGAAGGGGACAATTCCTTGATCCTAAAACTCAGAGTTGTCTAAACTTCGTTTGCAAAGCTATTTGAGCTGCTCTTGCTGGCTCCTGGCTGCGTGCTAACAAAGAACGGGCTCCTAACTCACAGTGTGGGGTAGAGCTGAAATCAACAGCAGTGGTGTGTTGGCTTCATTTTGAATTTCGTGTTTTTTAAATAGGAGATCAGCCATGACACTAAGAAATTCCGGTTTGGGCTCCCTTCACCAGATCATGTCTTAGGATTACCCGTAGGTAAATACTTACAGCATTTAAATACATCTATTTTTGAGAATGAGGATTGTTAAGATCTTGAGTTCCTGTGTTGGAATTCAGAGCTCAGCTGGAGTTGAGAGCTGCACCTGGAAGCTGCCATGTCAGAAGGAAGTGCCAACTGGGTTTCCCAAAGAGTCCCATTTCAGATTTTCTTTGTGCTCTGTCCTGCTTGTGTTACATGGTGTGGTGTAGTTCAGAACAAGAAGGTGAAATGCAGGTGAAACTGAACCAGTCTGAGGAAATTAACCCCGCTCAAGATACAGGCAAAAGAGGTACCCTTCTGAGCTTTTTAATACGACTTACTTCTGTTCTGCTTTTCTCTGGTGCTTCAGTTTGTCAGGTGTCCTCAGGTTTTTGGCAGCTGCAATCACACCCACGGATAAGGAATAGAATTCTTCTGCCTGGAAAGACTGTAACGATTGCATGCAAATCCCAGTGGAAATTTGTATCAAAGATGTTGCAATGTTCAGAGCCATTTCTGTGCATGCACTGAGCTTTGACACAGATACGTGTACAGCTTTGGCTTATTTTCTGCACTGGGAAATTCATTTCAGACTAGGATTGGCACAGTCTTCTTTCTCGTACTCTGAAAGTGCGATGGCATTGAACCTTGGACCTTGAATTAATGGTAATTTATGCAGAACCGTGTTGCTGGCTGATATGGCAGATGGAGCCCTGTTTGTATTGTGCTGTGTTTGGCAGATTTCTTGCTGTATGCACAAGTTCCAGTTCTGTGCTGTGGGCATGTCCTTCTTGCATGCACCTGATCAACCACCAGTCTTTCTTCAGGTTCTCTTTAGGGTCATATGGGACATGGAATTGAACTAACCATGTTAAATTGGCAAATTGTAAATGCTTTGGCACATGCTGCCTTTTGTTTGGAGTTCATTCATAAGAAGTTAGGAATATGATATTGGAATTGTATGGGCTGGATTCCTGCCTCCTACTTTTACCAAGATCGTTTTGCTAAAAGTCTGCTACTGCTGCTTCTGCTTTGTGTTTTTAAGTACAGATCAATGCTGCTGCTTGTGGAGCTGGGTGGCAGCAAATGCTGTGTTTTTATTAGCTAAATACCAAATCTAAATACAGAACAGAGCATCCTACAAGGCAGGTACCCTCTACAGCCAAGCTGTGTAAACTGGAGAAAAAATATAGGAGTTATGGCTGTGAAGATTGGTTTGTTTTGTTTTTTTTTCCCAGCAATACAGATGTGGTGTGAATACATAACAACACAGGATAACACAAAATAACATCAGTTGGTGAAAACCAAACTTTCTAGCCTGGGCCATTTGCTTATTACCTATAGCAACCTTTGCATAACAAGAACTCCCTGGAACTGAACTAAGAGAGATTTACCCTTTCCATAATACATACAGTTCCATAATTTCTTGTGGTTGTAGAAAAATATGCGCTTCTTGTGTTGGCTCTTATTTGAAGGTGAACTGCCTGAGAATACGTGTGCATGTGTGTGCCATGAAAACAATAATGAATTATACAGCTTTTTAAAGGTCATTTTTCCAAACTAGATGCAGTGGTTAAGGCTGCATGTTTTATCTTCCACTTGCATTGTAAAGATTAACTCCACTGTTGCTTGTGCTTGGTGGCTTACAGTACATGTTTGTCTGTTTTGTCGTCTTTGCCAAATAATATTTTGAAACCAGGTAACAAAAAAGCTCATTAGATTGTAATTCTTTCTCCATAGGCCAACACGTTTACCTTTCTGCAAAAATCAATGGCAATCTGGTGATCCGAGCCTATACCCCAGTTTCCAGTGATGAGACAAAAGGTTATGTTGATTTGATTATAAAGGTAAATTTTAATTTCCTTTAATACAGATGAATTGCTTACTGGAAAGAAGGGAACTATTTCATTTTAGTGAAATAGAGTTTATTTTAATTGGTTGCCTTTCAGATAGGATGACTGCATGGCAAACTCACACCTGCTCACGAATAATGACTTGTGTATCTGTTGCATGTCACAGAGAAATAGTAGAGGTGAGGGAGATGGAGCAGAGAGCTGACAGTACTGCAAGAACTTCTCTGTTTTTGTTCGTTTGGGTTTTGTTTGTTTGTTTGTTTGCAATGAACAAATAGCAATTGCTCTCCCTCAGGCTGCCTTATGCTGCTATTAGTACTCACTGCTGATACCTGAAAGAAGGAACATGTTAGTAAGAACTGTCTTTTGTGACCCTAGAGAGAGAGAGCAATTATATGTCTTCAGCATCAGAAGTTGTGCTAATGGGCTTATTGAGAAAATGGGATAAGGAAACAAGGAAAATCTTATAAACTAGGGGATGCTAGATGATTTGATCCCAGGTCTGGATTTTCCAGTTGTTTTCTAAGACATTTTGCACTTAGGCAAAAAAATCTGGGCTTTTTTGTTTTCTCTGTTCTTCACGTTACATATACAGTGAATGGTTATTAACTACTTAATATTTATCACGCATCTTGAAAGGCTGAAATGCTAGCATGTGACTGAAAGGTCACAGCAAGAAAAGATGCAGTAATGCTATTTTCAGAAGGGGTGCTTACAAAAATGGGGGTAACGTAAGGTTCTTTTTGGAGAGATGGTGAAAGGAGGGCATAATGTGCCTGACACATGTTCTAACTAGCCTGGCTGTTTGCATAGGGTGTTTTACTTACTTAGTCTGCTTACTGTTGCATGGCATGACAGGTAACTGAACAAAGAATTGTTGCAATCTTTCTTCCAAATGGTAAATGTCAGACCTGCAGTGCTGTGATCTTCAGTATATCATTCTGACTCCATGAAAGCTAATGGCTGATGTCATAGAAATGCTTGTTTTTATAGGTTTACTACAAAAATGTGAATCCTAAGTTCCCAGAAGGTGGGAAGATGTCCCAGTACCTAGACAACATGAAGATTGGAGATGTTATTGACTTCAGGGGGCCAAATGGATTGCTTGTCTACAAGGGGTCAGGTACTGTGACACAAAGGTGGGAGAGCAGAAGGGAGGAACTTAATTAGTTATTATCAGAGGCGTTTGATAAACTGTGGTTTGCAGAGAAACTACTTTGAAAAGTAGGAAGAGAAAATCTACGCTTTCTGATCTTGCCCGAAAGCCCATCAGAGTTGCTTATGATGGGAAGAGTACTTCGTGTTTGCAGAGTAATAGCTGGTTGTTGTCTTACTCCTGGGACCATATAATTAAATCTGAAAGATCTGCTGTTGCATATTTACTAGGAAGGCTGCACTGGAAATCCCTCGGATATGGACGTGGAGAGAGATGTTCCAGATACATGGCAGGTTGTAGCCTCAAATGCCCTCTGAAAATCTTGGCAGTGTTACTAAATAATTTATTAACTGCCAGCCAGCTCCATTTAGGTATTGAACTGGGTCTGAACTGGCCGGGAGGAAGTCGTCTATTCAAAGAAATAAACTTCTTTGAAGATGCTAGTAAAAGGCCAAAGGATTTTGTATTTATCTTGACTGAGAGGCACTGTGCACTTAATATTCCTGCTTCAGGGGAAGCAGTGCTCAGCACTTCCCTGGATCATGGCCTTTTACAATGAATAATACACTGATGAATCAGTTACATCTCAGAGGACTTGAGTGGTGTATGTTTTACAAACGTTCTTTCATCTCTGATTTGGTTGCTGTGAAGAGTAGTAGCTAGGAGAGCTGGTTACTAGTTATAGATTTCTTTAAAGATTATTGGAGTATGTCCAGTGTCTTTTATGTATTATACTTCTCCTGGGCTTTTCTCTTGGGTGAATACAAACTTTCTGGTTTTGTAACAGTTTTAAAGTGACGATGCACTCAGGCGTAGAGCAGAAATCAGCAAGGTCTTATCACAGGACAGTAAAGGCAGTCACGTAACTGACTGCAAGCAGCACAATGATCTCCTTAACTGAAAGCAAAAGACAGAAATGAAGTTCTTGATGAAAGGATGCAAGGATTTGATTATCTTTGTGGCATCTTGCTTGATGCTGGTTTAATACAACTCCTTTGAAAGTGGACACACAGAAATGGCTGGATCCATGGTGTAAATGAAGATGATGAAGGTGGCCTAATAAACTTTTCTGTCGAGGCTATGGTTACCCTTAGCTATCACCAGCTTTTGCAGTTGCTGAGTGATGTAGTCAGTGATAAGGGAATTCCTGAGTCGATCACAAATGATGCTGGGTAGCTGGCAAGATGAAGCTCAGAGTGTGCAAAGGCTTCTAGCCTTTACACTCAATGCTGTGCTGAGCACATTTAGCATGTCCAGCAGATCTGCCCTAATTGATTGGTAGGCAGTAGTAATGTATTCCCATGGAAGTTGCATCTGTTTTTGTTTAGGAGTTAACGTGTCTATAGGTTTTGAATATTTCTTCTAGGTACCTTTCTGATCAAGCCTGATAAGAAGTCTGAAGCACAGAAGAAGTTTGCAAAGCATGTGGGGATGATAGCTGGGGGAACAGGTACAACTATTCTCATCACAGCAAATGTCACTCTGGAGAATTAAGCGGTCTTCAGGGATGCTTGGGAGGAGTCTAATGTGCTATACTTTGGCAGCAGAGCGCTTCCATGAGCACTAAGCTGCTCTTTCACACTGCTTGCATGTATTTGGTGTTTGGATCCATCTGGGATAAAGAACATATTTGAAGTGTTGAGTCAGTTGTGTGTTTTAAGAGTTGTGCACTTACTGGATCTCCTCTCTTCTGAGTCCTGTTATGATCAGAATCTAACTTGTATTTCTTTTTATACATGAGTGTTTGGTGACACTGAAGCATTCCGGCAGCTTGAGCTCTGCGCTGAGGGTTAGCAGCTTCTTTGTAGTTTTAGTCTCAATTTACTGTGTGACCTCAGAGAAGTCACTTTACACAGAGCTCCAATGTCAATGACAAAAAATATTTTAGGAGAATATCCTGCAGGTGAAATCAGTGTTCTTATCACATCCACTACAGATGAAAGCCCCAGAACGCAAGCACTGTGGTTTTGTTTTAATCTTCATCTATATGAAATAACAAAAACCCTTCAACTTCTGCATTGAATCTGCATTGCACTGAAGACCAAGTGAAGGCAGCAAGAATATTGAAAGTGCAGCTTTATGTAGATTGAAATATTTGCATTTTTAACTGCTTTGTTTTGAACAGGAATAACCCCTATGTTGCAGCTGATCCATCATATCACAAGTGATCCTAAGGACTCTACAAAATGTTACCTTCTTTTTGCTAATCAGGTAAGTGTGCTGATGCATCCGTTTGTCCTTTTATGGCCTGCCTTTTTTGCTGGCTTAAGTTTTTGAAGCTGCTGTGACACAGAAAATACTGCTCTACATGCTTCATATCTTTCAGTGTCTGTCTGATCTGTAATTCTGGCTGAATGTGTATGACAAAATGTGACCTGAGATGGCATATTTAGTATGATCAGCATAGATAGGACCAGAAAGTAGTTACTAAATAAGTTTCTATTGTATTGTCTTGGATTAAAATGATTTAAGAAGGAGAAAGTGAATTAGAAAAGTATTTGCAACTATTTACCAATACTGTATGGTGCTGTTGTAGTTTCAGTGATATTTCAGTTGTTTTGAAGATGGCTCATAGTTTCACTCATACTCCATAATTCCTGTATTGGAATAAATTGTGAACAGATTGTTGCTCCTGCTAATCTTACTCCTTGACTGACTGCAAAGAAAACAGGACTTTGTTCTGTTTAATTCTGTTAACCAGGGTTAACAGGAGCTAGTTGTGATTCAGAAGTTGTTCAGATTGACATCTTTAGAATTGTGTTTAGGTGACTATTAAGTCTCATATTTGGAAGCTCTTAATCTGTAATGATAGTAGCCTGTCATGCAAAGGGAAAGTTTGAATGAGTTACCATTGTATTTGTCTTGTTGCACGCTAGGTAAGCTCACAGCAGAGGCTATATTAAGGTGTTTTAGAGCTAAATAGCAGTGTTGTTTTGCAGACAGAAAAGGATATATTGCTCAGAGCTGAGCTAGAAGACATTGCTAAGAAGCATCCTGATCAGGTCACGCTCTGGTATACACTGGACAAGCCTCCACAAGGTAGGCTACTGGTACACACTGGACGTATGCTTGCTCTTGTGAAAACTGCTGCTGTTTTCATAACAGCAGTATCTTTGTGTTGATAAATCAGTTTAAAGCACATATCTTTGTGCACTGAGATAGTGGGGAGAAAAGGATGCTTTGTTCACTTAAAGTAGCAGAGGTATTCAATGATACTGCTCCTTGAAACCACCTAGCATTTCTTTTTCACTTTTGTAACAACACTGCTGTCATCACCGAGCTTGTAACCTTACCGGTCCTTTCTAGAGTTTTCCAAATGTGTTGAGTAGCACAGGTCTGAATAATCTGCCCCTGTACTGCTGTCCTGGGTGACCTTTCTCTCCTGGAAGAAAGCCTGATTTATTCTTCGTGTTTATTCCTGGCTGATATCTAATTTGTTTAAAGCTGTCATTTATTCATAGGCATTCTTGTCTGAAAGTCTGTATAGTCCCTTTTCAGCCAGATTCTTGTTATCCATGTGCTTACTGTCCTCTTTAAAAGGAACCACAGGGTTTGAGCAAAGTGAGAGATGGGTCCCTGTCTGCTTGCAGTGATGGTGGCATAGCTTCAGCTACTTTGTGACAAAAACATATGCAGTTTAAAGAGATTTCAGACTGTACAGAGTCAGATTAATAGTTTGATGTGTTTGTTTCAGATTGGAAGTACAGTTCTGGCTTTGTCACTGCAGACATGATTAAAGCCCACCTCCCTTCTCCTGGCAGTGAGACGCTCATTCTTATGTGTGGGCCACCACCTATGATTCAGTTTGCATGTCAGCCTAACCTGGACAAACTCAGCTATCCCAAGAGCATGACATTTTCTTATTAACAGTGATGTCATCCAGCTCTTTTTCTTAAGTAAGTATTGCATATTTTCCTACAGGAACGACTGGTATGTAACTGTGCAGCATTTCTTAATTCTGTGTGTGTTTTTTTTAATGGCATAGTTTAATTTCTGTGAGTTTTAACTTCACAGTGACCTTTGACTACTAAGAAATGTGAAATTATTTTTCAATTATGTGGGAAGTAACTAATTCATAAGTTAATATGAAGTGTTACACCTGCAGTTCTAACGAAAAAAGTGTGTAAATTCAGAAGCAGGACAGTGATAAAATGAGTTGTTTGTTGACATGGATATGGTATTTGGGAGAGGGCTGTGAAAACTGGAATAGGATGTGAGCACTCTGTAAGTAATTAATTCATTCTGGTGAAGGTGAGAACAAGGAACAGTGTTTTCTCAAAATGCTGTTCTGCAGCCCTTTACAAGACTTTAAACAAAATGCCAACAGTATGTCACTAAAAAGCATCTAATCAAAATTTAGGTAATATGTAATTGCTTATTACTGTAATAGTAGTTCTCATTCATGTGGAAGTTATTGAGGAGGATTCTGTAACATCATGCTGTTTTCTGATGGCCTGAGTGTTTGTTGTTGTGGCCATTCCCTTTGCTTAAGAGAAAGCACGGCTTCTTCCTTCCTATTTTAAGCCTTGCTGAGTTGGTCTTACATTCAGCTGTACTTTGTCTGAGTATTTTTATCATGTAGCATTGAATTTTTAGTCATCAGTGCATGCAGTACTGCATATTCATTTTCAGGAATTAGTTCATGCTGCAATTGCTGTAAGGTCTGAAAAATCTCAAAGACAGTAGACTTGATTCTTCAGTTGCAAACAACTGTGCTTACTAAATATTTTAATTCCTCTGAAGCAAAATCAATCGTTTAGTAGTTAAAGCTTGACTTAGTGAAGTTGCAGTAATAATGCAGAGGAAGTCACAGACATTCACAACTGTGATTCTGTCACTGATAAGAGATCAGCTACCTCTGTTTCTGTTAGAATCATTCCAGTCAGGAAGTAATAGAAGAATATTCAGAATTTATTCATAACAGTCAAAGATGTAGGCATGTACGCCTGTGTTATAACTAGGATTTCTTACTATATTAAAAAAGGAGATATTCACATCAAGCTTAGCACAACACTACAGTGAGTTATAAATACTCCCTCAAAAGAAAAAGGGAAAGCTGCTTGGAATAGCTCATTGAGACTAAGGCTGCCCCTGCCAGAGCAGTTGTTATAGTATTATGACTAGGATGAATTTGATCAGTTAATCTGACAGGGTATTTCATGTGTCTGTTAGTATATGCCCACACTAGTGCTGACTGCACTACTCCATTGCCAGATCAGAGGGGGCATGTTTAGTTTGTTCATGTGCAGATTCACATATCGCTCCTTTGGATTTTTATTTACTTAATTCTTCAGTGACTGAAAAAAAAAATCGGCCTTAATTTTAACATTTTGGGCATGCTCTGGACAGCACCTGAGATTTGCTATTTATTTTGGAAGGTTTGTGGCTAGGAGTAGCCCACCCTTGGGCTTATATTAATAGATAAACCAACATCTCGCAGCAAGAAAGGAGGAAGTAATGCAAACCATGCATAATCATAAAAAGCCTTTTCTTTCCAGTTGGACGGATTTCTTTTTTGGCATTTCTCTGTATAAGATACAGTGTTAGTTATTAATTACCTTATTAATACATAAAAGGCATGTGCTATCAGATTGCACAAGCATTTGCAGCTGTGAACACAGCACTTTCACCCTTGAACTGCCCCTTGTGTAAGTAGGCAGAAGCTGCATTTCCCTGTCACAGTACTGCTGTCTTACCTACCTCCACGTGATTGCTACAGATTTATTTTGTCAAAAGAAACAAGTTTGCTTTACTATAGTCCTTGATGTGCCCTAGTCATGTTTTACATGTGACAGGCAATAGTATTGATTTCCCACTGCTAAATAAAACACTATGTGAAAATCTGCCTGTAGCTGGAATGAAAGAACTGAAAGTGTAAAATAATATGACCAGTTCTTATGCAAATATTACAGTTTCTACTACCAGCTCCAATCCTAAAGGCTGTTTACAGGCATATGTTTAATTAGCTTTAACCTCTTATAGCTCTTATAATTTATTCCTTGTCTTCCTGAAAACTGTGCTGCATCTTATATCAACCAGGTATTATGCTGAGTGTTCTCTCTGAATTGTGTGGATTGTTCAGAAGGCTTATGAGCACCCTGATGCTTCCACATGTGCCTCAGTACTAACCATTTTAGACAAAACAGGAAATTACAGAAAAAGCCCTATCAACACTTCAACTTCAAGGCCTACAATTTAAAGCAATCACACAGAAAATTTTGTTGCAGAGTACAGCAAGCATCATCCTAGTATTCTAGTTATATTTTGCATTAATTATTTTGCATTAGTTATTTTGATTGTGCTTTGAGTTAGCTAAAGATTTGTGAACAAGCCATCTTGATTGTCACTCTCCTGCAAGGGCTTGGTTGGATACAATTACATTTTATTTTTCCTATTCTAAACCATGCTTATTGAACAACAAAAAAGGGCAGGGTATGTTCTAGTGAAAGGGGTGAGGGTCCTTCTATGGCAAAGTATTTCTGGCATGACTGCAGTAATAGTGAGCCATGACAGGTGTGCTTGCCAGCACATCTGAATTGCTAGGTGGCTCTGATTAGTCCATGTGGTATAATAGAATATTAATGATTCCCGCATTACAACTTAATTATAAAAATTAAAAAAATATATACAAAAGACTTTTTCTATAGCAGTACATAGATATACCATGTAAAAGACGATAAAATACAAGGGTAAAACATACTGGCTTTCCAGACTCTGCATAAAAAACAACTGTGTAGCACTTCTTTCAGCACCTCTTTTACATTATATTATATGGAAAGAGTGCAGAGGAGTTACCTGTGAAGTGTTGCTTTGCTAGCAATACTAAATACTATGTGGTGTGTGTCACTAGAGGAAAAGAGGTAAAGCTTTTCTGTACCACAGCATCAGGCTTCTCCTGGCCTGCCCCAGGCAGGCATGAGGTATTAGTGGTCTTGGTCACGCTGAAATATCATCTCCAGTCTTCTAAGGTAGGTGTTAAAAATCTGCTGTCGTTTAGCATTTCATCTTGGCTTAACATTGTCTGAAAAAAATCACAGCAATATTAAAACAAGTAGACATAGTCTACTCTACGTCCATAGTTTAGAGAAATAACTATAGTTTAGAGAAATCCAACTGTAATGAGATCAGATTTACAACAGAGGGGGTTAGAGCCATGCAAAATTAAATTGGAATCTCCCAAATGGCTGCTTTAAATAGCAAAAGTAGAAATTTTCACACAGATGTGTGGCATTGTTCGTACACCTGCAGTCAATTAACTAATTTAACAAAAATGGACCAACATGGAGTCAGGAGTACATAGTTATTTATTTCCCTGTGATATTTTCTCTCTTGTACATCTTCAAGTCTTACCTCTTTGCCAGTCCTTGGGAGGGATGCCTCTTACTGTGTCACAGAGATAAATTGGTGAAAACTTAGAAGATGCTGAAGTGAAACTTAATTTCTAGTAAAAGTGATTCTTTTTTTTGAGTGTCCATGCATGCATATAGCATGCAACCAAGCTATAAAGGAGGTGCATAACAAGAGTAGTGACCCACTTACTCTTAACCACCACTAGCAATACCCGAATTTCACTGAGTTGTAGCAGATTACATTTGTGACTTCAAAAGGAATAAAATTGGTACGTACCGTAAGATTGCTTATGCCTTGAGAAAAAGCCCCTATTTGCTTTACTGTTCCTTCTGAATGTTCCATCTGTAAAAGTATTCAGCAGCTAATTCAATTCAGACAGTATGTGCAATGTTATTCACTGTACATGCATCATGGGGAGGTACCTCTGCCTTGACAAAGGGAGATGCTGTAGTTTTAAAAGCTAATTTCAGCACATTTCCGAGTTGCATGTGAATAAAAATGTCTCCGTGCTGTAGAGTGTATGAAAATGCATTAACAAAGGATTAAATCCTGATTAAGAGAACTGATTTATGGAACCTGATCTGTAATTTAGACAAGAAAAGGAATAGCATAAATAACTACCAGCCAAGAGTAATATTTTCCAGAAGACGAAACATGTAATTCCAGTAGTAGAGCTGCCTCCATAGGCAAGCAATAACAATCCTACCTCTGCTTACACAAAAAGGCTATCAGTACTAGGGCACTGAGGTTTTGCTGTGTGACCACACTAGAAATCAGGCTTAAGTTAAAGGCCACTCTGCTAGTGAAAAATAGAATATTTCTGTAATGTTTGAATAGCTCTGTGTTGTAAGCTGTCAGAGTTAATGCATTTCCTTTCAACTCTTAATTGTGTAAATGGACATCAGTACTAAATTAGTGTGTATATTTGTTTGTCAGGGCTTACTACTGTCACCATGTAGGAGCAGCTCTGGATTTTTACTACGGTGCACACTAAAAAAGACAACAGTTAGATAATGAAAACAAATGAGATGTTAGATGCAGTAAACCATGCAAATGACAGAATGACTTCCACAGGATTAGCAATTTTGTGGCCATTTTCTCACTGAGTTTAAAATGTTTCACTATGGTCACAGGAATTAGAAGGGTGTACCCCAGCTGCCTCTTTGTGGGTCTTGCATGTTGTCAAGTCCACACAAGCCTCTGGTAGCTCCATTTTTCAGGGTTTACATTCCTTTACACAACAGCAAAGTAGAGTAGAGTTTGGTGGGTTTTAATTTTCATCATTTATGCAATGTCTGGACACAGTTTCATTAAGCAGTTCACTACTAAATGACAGAAGTGAATTATTTAAGTGTTGGTTTATTAATAATTTTGTTCATTACCGAGGCCATTGTTTTCATGTCTACTGTTTAAGCCTAACTACTTCCCATGTACATAATGAAATAATGCAGTTGGAATCCTTGATTAATCTGTTAGAAATATATGATCCAGTTGTACTTTAATATATAACTCGATAGTTCTGTACAAATTAGTCCAAATAAACTTATCACATTAAAAACTGCCCATATAAAGAACAAAGGTGTGTGCCATACTCAGGTTATGAAAGCCGAAAGTACAAAAGTCTTCTGTTTACTGCAGCCTCTACCTTAATTGCCAAAATACACTGACTGTGGTAGTGTAAAGGTGTCAGGTTCCTGAAAAAGGGCTTGAAGATGAATGAGTTCATTGTTATGTTGATGGAAAAAAAAACAACCAAACACACCTTGACATTCTTAGTATAGAACTCTTTCAAGTGTCCATAGCCAGTACTTTCTCAATGAGTTCATGCAGATACAGCAAATACTGTTATATGCTAACATTTGATTATTTGCAAGCTTTGGAATGCAGGAAGAGGATGAGATGAGAATGGCATCAGTCTGTTTGTCCCACCTGATCCAGTTCCCTATCAGTGAGTGGACTAAGGCCTTTGTATCCAGTGTAGTTCTTCTGAGTACCATTTGTAGCACCTGGGTTTGTATCCATGGGACAAACATAGTCCGTTGATTCATCAAATTTCTTTTTTCTTAAATTTCCAAAATGTGAAAATCCAAGTTTCTTTGGCTAAAATAAAAAGAAAGCAAGTATTAAACCTGAAAAATAAGGTTATTCTTTAAACATTCAATATCCTTTCCTTTTTATTTACTTAGGTACTGTAATTCTTCAAATAGATTCAGAACTGTATACATTGAATTGTTTACAAAGTGGGGAGTTACAGTTCATTTAAGTAAGTTCAAGTAAGTTCCCTTCAAAGAAAAGAGGAGATTGCATGCTCATTTCAGAAACAAATTTTAAAAGTTAACTGCAAATTAAATGCCTTGGTATCTAGAGTTAAGAACAATGTAGCACTGCTTCTAGAACAGATCTTTCCCCACTCACATATGTATGTCCTGTATTTTCTTTATGAGAAGTGAAGGAGTAAGGCTGAGATTCTGTAATATCTTGTTTTGAAAAGCAGCTCATACCCGAACTTTGGCAGTGGTGGTCAGAGGTGTGTAAGCTGTTGACTCCGTTATGTCCCTTTTTTCTTGCTGTGTCTCTGGCCCAATTAATACATTAAAATTGGTTGTTAGGTGGCGTCGCAGTAGGGTCTTCTGAGGTGGAATATTCAGCAGCATTGCCAGTGTGTCACCGTTGAAGCGAGGTTCAAGAATCTATTAAGATAGGGTTTGTTTTTTTTTTTAATAATATGGTTAAATATTTGCAATAGTAAATCATTATGGTCCTTAGCAGAAGGATTTCTTCATTCCAGCTGTCCACAGTAGACATTTTTAAGTCAGCAGTATTATGACATTCACTAGGTTTGAATAGGAAATGTGTGGAGTTAGACATTAAGAAATGCAGAGTGTAACCAGACAAATGCCAAATTATATTTATCATCAACAGGGTTGCTTTGGGGATTTTTGAGCTCTTCTTTTTTTTTTTTTACTACTGTATTATTATTCTAAAAACAAACTTAATCTTAGTACAATTTTTTTTCTATTTATTTTTTTCAAAAAATCTGCAGCACATCAGCATCACAGTATTTCAGAACTCTTGGCTTTTCTAAGCTACAAGCTGTATTTTGGATCAGAAAAACTCTTTTCAGGCAAGACAAATGTGAGTTCAAAACAGTTATTTCCTGTGGCAGGGTGTTAGCATAATTTTATTAAAGCTGCTCCAAGGGACACTCAGCAATAGAGTAATTTTCTCACAGTACAGGTTGTTGTTCTCTAATGTACTACTGTTACTGTTAAGCATACACAGCTCAGCATTGATATCTTAACAGTTGCTTTGCTATTTAAATTTTCTTTTGTAAAATTAATATGTACAGATGCAGAAGCTTTTTAAAATGCCTGATCATGCTTTTATTTTGCAAATGTCCACTTGTGTTTCTTGCTACGTGACCAGAACAAGATAAAGTAAGGTTTGCAATACAGTCTTGTCAATTCTTCATAGATATGTAGTAGGATGTTAAAAAGAATTCTTACAATGAGGCCACCGTGCACTCCACTTCCTCGGAGGTTTGGTGCATATTCTGCCAAATCAACTGATCTGAGCCATTCCATCACTCTGTGATTGGACCACTGCACCACTTCAGAAGGTGAAACATTGCTCTGTTCAAGTAACCAGAAAAGATGGTGACAATACAGCCTGGTCTGTCACAGCATGTTCACAAAATGAATCTTGAGTTTAGATGAAAACATTGTTCCCTTCTCAACACAGAGGAGCATTTCCTCTTTCTGTTCAAGGCATCTCTTAAACATCCTCTAATCTGGTGGTATGTATTAGTCTAGGACAGATTAAACCTATGTACAGCATCAAGTTCTAAAATAAGAGTACACATTCTAAATGCAAAAAAACCCAAACATTTTGAGAAGAACATTATTAACAAGGCTGTCATAGTATCACTAAGAATAAGCTCTGGTAGGTAGAGTGAAAACAATATGCAGTCTTTTATAATTCAATTAAGGAAGCCAAAAAAGAGCATTCCAAATAATTTGCTCGAAAGTTGAATTAACATAACTGAGAAAGTAATTTTAAAAGAAAGATGCATAAGATTCAACTAGTAAGTAGCTCAATCACTTGTGAACTGAGCAGGTTTTTATTATCAGAGAGGACATGTTATATTCCAGAACAGGAATGCAACACAGCTTCTGCTTTAGAGGCAATTCCCTAAAAGCTGTGATTGAGGTATTATTGTTCATGGAGTATAATAACAGAGTAATTAGTGCTTGCATAAATGAAGTTACTTAAACATACTTTTACCTCCTCAACTGGTCGTCTGCGTAGACAGTGGGGGTTAAAACTGTTGATGTGCAGCACATGAATGGCACACTTAATACTCAGATGATGCAGCTGACTGGTGACTTTTAGAAAGAGAAGGTCGTTCTGTAAAGGAGAGAGTCTTTTAAGCAGCACAGAATACATTCAAAAATAGTACTTTTGCCAAGAAGAAAGATTTCAAGCTTTGTATGTAGTTTTTGGTTTATAGTATTGTACCATATTAACATGGTTAAAAATGGGAGGAGAGTTTATAGCCAGTTAAATAAAACCAAGGCTCATGGACAGTTTTTGATCATGCTGCAGTGGGATCACAGAAGCTAGCAACTCATACCTGGCATGGACCAGTAGAGATCATACTTCTGTGGCAAAGGTTCTGCAAGCAGCTTAGACATGGTTCTGTTTTTGACTACTGCTAAATTATGTTACTGTGCTGTGATGAAAATACAAGAACATTTATCTAAACCTGGGCAGGGAAGCTGTACAAGTAACTTCCTTTAGGAGGAAGTTTTTCACTCAGAGGGTGGTGACACACTGGAACAGGTTGCCCAAGGAGGTTGTGGATGCCCCATCCCTGGAGGCATGTAAGTTCAGGCTGGATGTGGCTCTGGGCAGCCTGGTCTGGTAGTTGGTGACCCTGCATATAGCAGGGGGGTTGAAACTAGATGATCATTGTGGTCCCTTTCAACACAGGCCATTCTATGTTTCTGTAAGTAAACATAATGGGTATATGTATTGTATTGTTTGCTGCTAATTTGATGAGAGCTGTACAAGTTACTGGATTTGTTCTTTACCTTTAATTTACCTAATGTTGTTGATAACTTAGTGAGGAGAACAAAACATTCCAGAAGCTGTATGTAAAATAGGTCATTTTACCATCAATTATTTTGTATGATATTGAAAGAGAAACGTCTTGCAGAAGTCAGCTGTAACACTGTATTACTAGTCCTAAGGTGCATAAAACAGGTAATCTTGCACTAAACAGTACATAGAAGTTCCTACCTGCACTGTTTCTGGTTTGCAAAAAAACAAAAAACAAAAAACAACCTTGTAATTCTTTGCTCACTCTGAAATTCAGAGTTTGGCAAAAAACTATTTTAGCTTACCACAGTTAAGTACTGCAGCATTCTCCCATCGACTCTGGACTCATGAAACTGGTCTTTGTACTGAGGTAAACCAATATCATCAAGCCAGCCTGTAGATAGAAGAACAATGGTGTATCCAAATTTGTATCAGTGAGAATGAAGCCAGCTTCCTCTGAGGCACTCCAGTAGCTCATTCTACCTATTCACTTTCCAAAGGACAGCCTCTTATCGGGAACTTCCCAGCAGCCAACAGCCAGCTTTGTCAACAGTACCTCTGCTGTATTTTAAGTATGTACTTTCTGCAGTGTAATTTAGCTCTTGCTAGACTGAGACCTCTCACCCCTATTTGTATTCCTTCCCCCTCAAGAAGGATGGGCTGCCTGAGACACGTGCATGTTTAAGCAGTCACCAGCCATCTTTTTAAGAGCGCTAAGTTTAAACAGGACAAGTTATCTCATGGAATGATGATTTTTGTGTTGTTCTGAACATTCAAATAGGCAGTTTTATAGTATGAACTTTCCGTGGGAACTCTACCGTTCAGATGGAAGAAAAGTTGTGGAACAATTTGTGAAATGTGGATGCCATCATCAGATTATTACATGATATTTATTAAATTTTCCACCCAGTGCACACACTTAAGATTGTGCTGAAAGACCATACAGTCTATCGGAGAGAAAAATTCATCTGATGATTGATCTGAAAATACTTCCGTTTTTTGACTGCTATTTCCCTATAGTAAAGAAACACAAAATTTTCTGAAGAATTTTTCACTTACGCGTCACCCAGATATGATCGAGTTGTGCAGACTTCTCATCTTGTTTTGTGTTTATTGATTTAATGGCCAAAACTAATTTCTTCCTGTGCAGTGGGTGCTTTATTCCCATTTCCTGTAATAATAACCATTAACAAATAGTTTGCTTTGCCTCTGGCCCTCTTCATCTCATTAAACATCTATGAAAACATTTCAAAAATGTAGAACTGCCTGTTATTGGTAGGGGCCTAGTTATACAGAAGCAACTGGAGTTTGCTTAAGTGAAACAGGTACAAATATTACCTTTTCCATGTCCTGAGGCGTCGCAGTTAACAGTGTATGGCCTGAAGTCACCCACTGCCGGGCAAAAATGACGTACTGCCCAAGACCAAAGTCCTCAAGCCAGTTACAAACTCTTTCAGTACTCCACTGAGCAAATGGAGCATTGTAGTCACTGAAAAATAAAAGAACTCTTTGAAATTCATAAAGGAAAGATAATGGAAATTATGAGAAAGACCATCGCAAACTAGAGGAGATACTACAGGCCAGTTTCTAGCACGCTTTATTCTGTGCAGTAATCAGCTCTAGCAGCCATTCTTGCAATACATGCTGTGGTACGAGTATCCTCTTAATTTGACTGCCCAGCTTCTTTTTCTGGTCATTTGCAGCAGGGCAAGAAGAGAAGGATAAAAGTTTCAAATAGAAATGGGAAAGAACAGAAAGAGGTAATTGCTGAATCTTCATGTCTGCAGATATTCCTACAGGAGATGATGAGAAATTTTCTGAAGACATTTTTTTGCTGCTACCTGCAGTTGAGGGAGTGCAGAAAAGCAAACCGCTTGGGTTATGCTTTCTACCAGAGAAATTCTTTCCAGTTGTAGAATTCCATGTGTAATTAAGTATGTTAATGCATATTTCACGAAAGGAACATTTTACCGTTCAGTATATTTAACAATACCATATAATAATCTGTGTAAAAAAAAAAAAAAAGAAAAAGAAAAAAAATGTTACTTTTTCTGGCCTTTGGTTTCCTTTGATCTGGATAACCGAGGTCCGGCTGTTGCACGGAGACCACCCCTTCGAAACTCTGCCAAACCCAGATCGTCTGCAGGGAAGTTACCAGACTGAGTTCTTCTTATTCTTTCAAAACAAGAGCGCCAAGACAGTACTGTTAGTGTCCAGCAGCAAAGTGTTTCATACGGAAACTATAATGACAGCTGGAAACTGTATTAATCTCCCCGTAGAGCACAAACATCTGATTCAGGCAGCAGCTGATGAAGGAGCAGGCAAACACTGTCTAGACTTATCTCAGAAAAGAAAGAAAAGCTTTGCAAAGCAGCCATGACCCTTCAACTCAAATAATAATTCACAGAGGTCAGACTTGTAAATGGCTGCAGTTCTGAAGTAGATAAAAGGCACACAGTAAAACTTGGTACTCTCAACTGTCAGCATAATTACACAGGAGAACATATTATTTCTTCCAATAGCACGGCACTCTGAACCTTACCATCCACTTTCCTCCAGCCGTGTATACAAAGAGACACAACTACCCGTACAATCAGAGAGCTGCTTTCCCTCCTCTTCCTGAATTTTATTTTACTCTTGCTGTATCTTTTCATGAGAACCAAATGAATTCTCAGTTTGAAATGCTGTGATGAGGAACTAAAAAACATTATCTTACTTTCCCCAGATTTTCTTGATTCCTTTTGGACTCTTTCTGTTTTCTGGAGACAGTGGAGACTGTGGACCTGAATCCATTCCCAAAGAAAGAGGTGAAAGATCATCTGAAACTACTGTACCGTCCATGTTCTCTGTTTCTCCTGGGTTAACAACAATAATTGTCAATAATTAGTACAAAATGTGACAGGGTTGTTATACGGCAGACTAATACTTAAATTAAAAAATATAATAAAGTACAGATAGCTATAAAAATGTTCTTGTATAAAAATAATCTTAAAAAAAAAAAAAGAGTAGTTGTACCTTTGATACAAGAAAACGGTATTATAATATTGTAATTTCAGTGTATTTTAAAACCTTAATTCCTGATCTTGATCTGCTGTTGCGTTTCCTATTTTTAATACCAAAATTCATCCATCAAAATCAGTGGGAATTTTACTGTTGACTTCAGTGAAAGTAAAATAAGACCAAGAATAAATATCTTTAAAAAAAAAAAAAAAAGTCCCATCTGAATGCTATACAGCTAAAGATTTTCTTTCATTTCAGTATTACACTTAAGGAGTTCAGTCTGGATTGCCCACTCAGTGTCAGTATTTTACAGAGAAGACGAAGGGAGGGAAAAAGGAAAGGAAAAAATAAGCAGCAAAATTCACGTTAAAAGTTGCATCTTGTTTGGATACGATACCTAGCACGGGTGCACTGACACTCCTGATGCGATCTTCCAGTCCCAAGAAGCAGAAAGTCAGATGAAGAAGCAAAGAAGATATAAATCACCAGCAAAATAAAGTTACAGAAGAGCAAAGTGGTAAGCTAGTAGTAAGCTAGAGTAAGTAGTAAGCTATTAAAAGCAGAAACAAAAAGAAAAGAAGCTGTTATGCTTGACATCAAAGGGATTGTGCATTGGTGTGCACAAGCCCCAGGAATCCTGGACCAGTCAAAGAGATAGGAATGATCATTTATATTTCATCAATTCTTTGGCAACTGTAACACATCAAGCATATACTACTGAAATAAACAATGTCTAAAACCACATCAAATTTCTGTGAAATACAGAACTGGAGGTATAATGAGTTTACTGCATGTGGAAGAAACAAACCAGACTCTGGTAATTCAGTGCTTTTTAAGAACTCATTGCTTGTTTCTAGAATAACATTCTGCTTTACAAGATTCCCCATCCTTTGATCCTGCATGTAAAAGACCTAATAGCATGGCCAATAAATTATCTGCTGACTATTAATGAGGATCTACAACATTGTGATCACAGAAAAACTACAACAAACAAACAAACAAACAAAAAAAAACCAACAAAAACCAACAAAACAATCCACCAGCAATCTATTGAAGTGTTTAAGCTATGCTACTTAGTGGTCTTAGGACCATGTGGCCTTACCAAACAAATGAAAAAACCACCACCAAAAAAATCCACAAACCAGCAAACAACTGTGACCCCACAACAATTAAAACAAAACAGATTTTTCCCTGAAATGTGTACATTACTGTTGGTTATACTGTAAAATGTCACACATTAAAATGTAGCGAGATGGGAACTGGGAGACTTTTCTTTTTTAACATACAGTCTAGCATAAATGTGCGGTTTTGTTTCCTTGTTTTTTAAGAAAGCATCAACAAGCTCACGATCACTGCAAGTAGACAAAAAAGAGGACCTTATTCCTAATATGAATATGTTTGGATCACCAAAAATTCTAATTTTCAGTAATAGATTTTTTGGCTTTTAAGAACGCTGCCTTCCAAAAAAAAACACTAAACCAACAAAAAGTCTCTTCATTACACTGCCACTGGTATTTGCAAATTATAACATCTGGTGCAAAAAGAAAAACAAATGCTCTAAAGTAAATCCAGCCTTTATTCTCTAGCAAACTTATCTAAAATACTTATGTATTGTTAAAGGAGCAGAGCTTTCCTCACTGAATCATCTGAACAGCTCAGTCCATTCATGTAACACAGCAGGTTACACAGTGTGCTATTTCCCCTTGTTGGTTTGCTTTTTTGCCTCTTCCATAACCCCCATGCTGCCTCTGAGAGGCACGGATACATACTCAGATACGGATACATACTCAGGCCCAGGATGCTGTTGTACTCAGTGTCATTCGTGTCAGGTGAATTTGACTCATTATATGTCCCCTGGTCTCCATTCTGCGTGGGTCGAGGAAGTTTTCCTGGCAAAGTTTGATATTTGCTGCCTTTCACAAGTGGCTTACTCTGCAGATTTGGTTTTTTAAGAGGAGAAAAAAAATAAAAAAATCACTCATTGCATTTACAGTCTGGCACACAATAATTTAAAGGTTTAGAAAAAGTATTTTGCAGTTTACAGTTCTAAATGACACCACCACCCTTCATGGTTCTTTTTACAGATATTCAATTTAAATCTAATTATCAGCTGCCAAGAAGTTCTAGGTAAGAGCCAGCCTTCTCTTCCCTTCTTTTCCCCTTCACCCAGACTGTAAATTATATTAAACAATAATATATACTGAATATTTCCTAGTTTCCTCATAAATATTCTTCTAGCCACCTCCGCTTCCTTCAGGACCCTGACACCACATAACAATTCAGTCCTTCCAAGGCCAACTTTGATAGCAGCATAAATGCATTTAGTCATTTCCCAGCCCATTCTTTGCTGCCACATTTTTCCTTTACACTTCACCCAACTGCCTGTGTTTTGGTCTTACAGATGTGTCTCAGTTTAAGCCAAAGGCATTTTGATAACTCAAATTTGGTCAGACGTTTTGCCCATCAGTATTAATGACATACAAAGAATCAACAACGAATTCAGGATACAGAAATTTAACTTTTGTAAGCTAAGTTACAGGAATAGAGAGTTTTTTTTTGTGGAAAAGAAATGATCCTGCACCTCCAATTATGGTAGAGGTGTACATTCAACGTGTGATTTGAAAGCAGCACAAAAACAATTAGTATTCCCCTGTTTAGTAACGTCATTTAATTGTTTTGGAACACCTCGATCAAACTTGTCTGGGACAGGATAATACATAATTACTGGTCTATCCATTCTTGTTTCAAGGCCAGAAGTGATTTCAGTGATTCTATAATCACAGAGCAGATTCCTCAGTTTCAGGGACTGTGTGTCTGACCCCTGCTCCTGTTTTGCCAACTGCAGTTTCACAACTGTCCCAGCTTGTACCAAAGATTACATGAGTAGAGAAACTTCATACTACTTTTATCAAAGATTAGCACTGTGTTTCCTGAAGCTGACTGACTTCCAACCTTAGATACCCAAAAAGCTTGGCTGAATAAAAAACACCACCACCATCACACAGAAAAAAGAAAAAAAAAACCCACTACCAAAAACCAAACAACTCTTCAATCCTTACCCCCACTTTCAAATTTTGTCAGGTAGCTGGACTTTACAAACATTTTAAAAGGGAAAATGAAGTGAAAACACAGCCACGACATCACAGCAGATAAATGTTAAGAGTTTACAGTTAATATACCTCTTGTTCTACAACAGGCTGTACTGGTTTTCCATCTACATACTATGGAGTTGCAGGGAGAGTAATTTCAAAGTTTTATGGAAAAAAGCAACAGACAAATGTTAGTATTAATATACATACACAAAACATCAACTGTAGCTTGATTACTATAGTGATGCTATTTAATACTATGACAATATGTTACAAGGTCTGATATCTCCTCATTTTCATTATGTATTTAATATTAAAAGCATAGGTTCAAAAGATTACAAAATTTGTGCCCAGTTTACGTTCTGCTATTAAAAGGATTTCAGTAATTCTGGGCTTCTGAGGGTTTCCATTGGACTTGCATTGAGCTGGGAATGTGACATTCACATAACACTTAAAACAATGTGAAAGTGACTGACGTAAGAGACCATAGGCAATGCTGTATGTATCCAGCTGAAACTATAGAAAAAGAGCTGTGGTAAAAATGAAGTGATAAAAAAAAAAAACAAACAAAACAGCATGGGGAGGTCAGAATCACCAGAATGTTTCATCTTACTGCTGGATGTAATTAAAATTTGAATCTTGTACAAAAAACAACTCCAGAAATGGTGTCGTTAGCACAAGTTCCACTGGACTCAGTGAAAGGAGCAAATTCTGGTGCTGAGTCAGCAAAATAATCTTTGTTTTGGCTAAGTTGTGACTAATTCATATTTAGTCAATCACTTATGTGCATAGGGAGGTCTGTTTCACTAAGAAGCCTTGTACCTAAATGAGGGCACATAATTTAAATGCCCTGATAAACATGGGGCTCACTGGCTATGGTTGTGCCATATCTTTGATTTCAGCCTGATCTTATCATAAAGACAAAGGTTTTTCAACTTAAGACAAAAATAATTTAAAAGTTATGAAAAGAAAGCAGACCTTCATAAATTCCACATGGAGTAAAGTGTTAGTTGTCATTCAGTCGGTCCTGTGTGCGACCACACTCAAATGAATGCAACATAAATTTCAAACATTTTATTTGGTGATTATCATTTTTAGACATGTAAGAACAAACTTAATGAAATTTGAAGTAGGAAAACAATCATATTACTAGGGAATGTGGTTATTATCCTTTTTAAATGGCATTACTAAGTATGCATAATTCATGTTAAGCCTAATTTTGGTACAGAAAATGTCAATAATAGTTTCACAGATTTTATGTGTAGAAAAAGCTTCAGTGTACACGACAAAAAATAAAACCTCTGGACCATAGCATAAGGAGATTTTGTAAATTGTGAAGTCTTAATTCTGGAATTAAGCCATAGAATTAACAACAGTGCTCCTGTTTTTAATGAAAACAGCATTGCTGCCATCTTCAATAATGCCATTTATATCAGAAGTCAAAGTTAGGGAGTAACACTCATAGTTATGTGCAAACACTCAAAAAGAAATCCTATGTGAAAATGCATGCCCATTCTCAATACTTTTTGATTGCTTTCAAGTTCTGTTGGCTTAACATTTTAGCAAACAGGAAATCAAAATTATCTTAAAACCACCTTTCTTAAACAAACTGTTATACAGTTCAACAGAATGGCTCCTCATTATCATTATAGTTATACTTCTCTTAAATACTTTTATCATAGAAATTCTGAGTACAAATAAACCAACCTTTTCCAGGGATTCACTCTGCAAGTCTTCTAAGCTACTTGACTTTTTTTTCTGTGGAACCCTTAAAATAATAAGAGGCAAAAAGACCACAATAAATATAATATGTTTACATCACAACTTTCTCATGACAGTTGTTGTATATCACAATTTCTTTGTCTAACAGATAATTCATAAATAGATTTGTTTGTACCCTAAAACTCATAGTACTGGGTTTAAAACATAGTGCTGACACAGATGAAGTCAGAAACGTGAAAAGGACTTTTAGTCAACTATGAAAGGCAACAAGTACAGTGACCAAGTTCAAACCATAAATTACTTTTTAGAAGCTCTGAAGCAAAAGTAGATGTTAATAAAGCTCTGCAAACACCATGCAACATTAAGGGCTTTTAAGAAGATTTTTAAAATGGAAGGAAAAAAGTTGTTGAAGAGCTGAGAGGACTAGATGCAACATTTAAACAGATTAAATAATGTAGACTTCAGACAACCTGCACAAAAAGTAAGAATAGCCTTGCCTGATTTCCGTAGTTTTGTGCGTCACTGGAGATAGCAAAGCTGGTGACAATTCTCCTGCAGAGACCTATGCAAAATAGAAGTATCATGCCTGTAACTCTGGTGTCTTCATCTGAACCTACAGTGAGGCACTGCCACAGGTTGCCCAAAGCTGTGGTGTAAGCCCCGTCCCTGGAGACACTCAAGGCCATGCTGGATGGGGCTCTGAGCGACTCCACGTAGCAGTGGGTGCCCCTGTTCACTGCAAGGGAGTTGGACCAGATGGCCTTTAGAGATTCCATCAAATTCTAAAGATTACCAGCAGGCACAAAAATTTAGCAAGGTCCAAACCCGTGTCTGCATTACCTCTGCTACAACAGAGAGACCAAGACAAACAACTTGAATTTACAGCAGAACCTGCTTCTAAGACATCTTTACTAAGTACCTCTGCTTTAAATACTTCTCCTTGAGGATTATTCAAAACATTCAACTTCCTTAAAGTTGCCTCAAGTTCTTCTTCACTGCCACCAGAGACAATTCTGTCCGAAGAGCCTGCAAGCATTAAAAGCAGAAATGGAGATAAACAGGTAAAAATACAACATTTAGGACTGTATTTAGGCTATCTAAATACTAGTTTCTAAATTCCACTTTTTGACTTCATCTGATGCATATAGTTCGACCTCAGCCACTTCACTCTACATGCCTCCTTAGGGCTCTGACTTGTAAGCAAGGTGATTTGTATTTGAGCAACAAATATAACACAGTCATCTGTTGTGCTCTGCTCAGAATACGTGAGCTGATTGTGAACCACGCTAACTCACAGTTTGGTGTTCTGAGGCAAGATCAAGTTGGTACCATTTTCTTTCTCACACTATGTCACTTTATAGGAATTATGTTAGATGTCAGATGTATCATAAAGCAGTGTCCTATTCTCAGTTTGAGGATAAACATGTAAACGTTTTTTTATCTGCGTATCTTGGAGTGAAACAAGGTTTTTATTCTTGTCAAATGTAAGAGGAGGGAAAGGGCAGCAAAACTTAAGGTATTAATTGCAGCTCTTTTTAGCAATATGTCATGTACAAAGAAGAAAAGCATCCTCATAACAGATTCCTTGTGATGAACACAAGTATAAAAAGCATGACATGAAGGGAAAAGTACTCCCAGATGGATGGCTGGTGGCTAATCACTGCTGCCATTCCTGAACTGAATGGTAGTGTAGAAATCTCAATATCGGATGCCATTAAAAGTTCATCATCTGCTAAGGTCTCCTGGTTTCACTTTACACTGTAAGAACTTGCTGTTTGTTACCTAATGGTCATAGAAATAAAGCATCATGCAAACGTAAGGCCTATCTGTATACTTTAATTCATCTGTAGATGATTAAAGTGTCATTTTAATTTTGAATAACAGATTCCAGAAGGGGATATAATGCTATCTAGCAAGACTACTTTAAACTTGTGCCTTTAGCTAACTTGATTGAACTATCCTAATTGTTTGTGTGTGTCAACAAATTATTTGTCAGCACAAGCATTCTGCTCAGTCTTCTTCACCCTTTCTTCTATAATTCCTTCTCATGCAACATCTACACCCTTCATTACATGGATGTAGGTGTTCTGCAGTCAAAGCCCGTTGCCCCACTGAGGTGTATAGAAAAGCATTTTAAGGAAAGCAGTGCTGACTTTGGATTGCCTTGACACATAATGAGTAGAACTGCAGAACTTCAGACCTGACAGATGAGCAGTGCACACAGCTAAACAACCAGAGCAGTCATCTCATCAACCATCATTCTTTTATATTCTATGATTCTGAATGATAAACATAAATAGCAGCAAAATTAGGCCCAAGAAGGAAATTACTAGTAACTGATGTGGAACAAAATTTAGGCAAAGTCCTACGGAATTCAGTTTCTCTGAATATTAATGTTGTAACTCAATCCTCAAATAGCCTTGATTTTTATTTATTTATTTATTTGTTTATTTATTTTTGCAGTGAACACAGGCTAAAAACCAGGAAGGCAACATCTACCAGCTAGAGACAAAAACACACAAGCCTGCTCAAGCAATACTGTCGCTCCCTCTACTCTTACAGCACTCCAACACGATACCAAGGTATGGATAATGAACTATATGAACTATGTAGAATTATTCATGTATATATTAAAGCCAACAAATAGTAGTCATAGTGGATGCAGTTTTTAAAACACTCAGAACCAGGAAGTTATTCACAAGACATTTTACCTTGAGCTGCAATCATTATCTCCTTGACCCTCCTGTACTGGCTTAGCAGTAGCGTTAACTCCTCTATTCGCCGGTCCTGTGAATAGCATTAAATAAAATGCATATTTTCTGCCATAATCAACACAAGAAACCATTCTTAGAGTTACTGAAAAAGCTGTTGAGAGATACTCCCTTTAGGAAGAACACTTTATTTTGCAACATTATTGAGCGTAATAGCTCTGCACTGAATATTTATGAGGCTGTGGGTAAACCATCTGACAACTAATTTAAACACTACGTTATCCAAATAAATGACCTTTGTTTCCCTGTGAGTATATCCAGGTATTAGCTCATAAAAACACCACCTTATGTTCCCTTCAAATGTTAAAATCTTATACAAACTTGGAACAATTTTGCAAAGCAATGATGCTACATCTTATTTTCTAGATGTAAATTCTAGCTTTTTTAGTGCTTGAGATACTAGATACTGTCTCACCGATGCTCTCCAGAATTAACATTGCTCTGTCAGATCCCCCATTTACTGGTTTTTAGGGATGTATGTTATTGTCATCACACCTTCATTATATATGAAGGTGTCACCATCAAAGAAAAAGCTTATTACCTGATTTGTTATCATAAAACAAGAAATAAAATTTTGTCAATTTAAGCAGGGAAAAAGTACTACAAAAATAAAGAACATTTTATGTAATAAAGTCAGTGGTACCTGAAGGTTTTGCACTTGAGTTGCCCAATTAATAGAGTAACAGCATAGAGGTTAGAGAGACCAAAGCCATATTTGCTATTTCAGTGGGTTTAATTTTGCATCCCCTAGTTTTTTATTACTCCTCACACCTCTTTTTTTGTTTTGTTTGCTTTTAAACTCGTCCTTATTTTAAACATGGCCACATTTTATTAAAAGATTTTACTTTCTTTTTATATCATAATCTGATCTGGGCATACCATTGCAGTTCAGATCAAGTTTGAAAGACTAAGAGCTACCTGTGCGACCTGGTGTAGGGAACCTGCTTTGGCAGAGGGGTTGGTCTCAATGATCCCTTCCAACCCCTACAATTCTGTGATTCTGTGAGATAAGCAAACCTTAGAGCCTTTCTCGCTCTAGCAGAAAACAAGAGATTTTGCTCATTACAGGTTTTGCTTTGCTTTCTGCTCTTCTCAGGAATCCCATGTACCTAACAAGTTCTGTGACAAGTTAGCAAGGTCAGCCATGCTTACTATTAAAAATCAACCTTCTGGCACAGTCTCATGGGATAATCCAAAAACCAGGGCACTATCATAATTAAGGAAAGCAAGTTATTCAGATCTTTACAGAGATTCAAAATTATAATTTCAGCTTTGTTACATAGAAAGAGGATTATTTTCTCACCTTTTCTTCATTTGCAGCCAATAATGATTCCATTCCTATCTTCAACCGTTGTACTTCTTGATCTAAAAATGTGATCAGAAAAATTCTTTCTACATTTAATCTAAACGGTATCTATTTTGCAATACTCTCTCTTATGTTCTTACAAGTAACCCAAACTATGTAAATTACTTTTAATTTAAAGCTTTTGAAAAGCTGAACTATTTAAAGCACCACAGAATATGAACATGCTGGGTTTGCTTGTAACAGTCTACACAATGCTTGGGAAGATTTCATATTCCCAAATTCCCGTAAGAGAAAAAAAAGAAACAATGAAACTTATTTTGCAAAAATGAGAGGGTGTTTGCTGTTCTGTATTTATGGAAATAAAAGTAAACATGGCTGAAAACTAATTATATTCCATGTCAGAAAAATATTATCCAGTTTATGAGATATTCAAGATCCTTCTTTGAGACTTGAAAAATAGCAATAATTATTTTCATATTCTCTAATAAGGAAAATTTGTAAATATTTTTTCTGAAAATGTCTCAGTGTAAATAACTGAGTTAATGTCTGCATCAAGAAGTAATACATAATTGCCTTACACAAGATAGCAGTACAATACAGATTCAGAGGTTATTAAAAATGTTGTACTCAGTGACTGAAAACAAACTTTCTGAAAACTGACAAGGTACTTAATGACGTCATCCCAACTTTGCTGAACCACATCCTTTGTTTTTTCTTTAGATAATATTCGTATCAGTTCCAACCTGCTTTGAAACAAGTATATATGATGGAGACAGAACTGCGTTGACATTAGAACAGACCCATTTGTTTCACAGAGCACTATGAAAAACAGATGTGGAAGGCATGAAGTCAGAGTGAGGAAGGAGTCAACAGCGTAAAAAAACAGTTTAAAATGTTGTACAACTAAATGTTGGTATAAAAAGTAATCAATCATTTTCAAGAACTGTAATTGTTTTCTCTGGTAGTGATTCTGAGAAATAGGCACTTTGTAATGATTACATTTTAAAACACGTAAAGGAACTTCGCAAACATTTCTCTTTCAAAAAAGAACACTTAACAACACAAGGCATGCTCAGACACAGCCAAATCAAAAACTGAAGCCAGCAGACAGTGGGCAAGCAATTGGAAAATGTTTAAGAAGCCGTTACAAATCACAGTGCTGCTCATTTCAGCTCATAACATAGACTTCAAAAAGACCTGGTGTTGAGGTATTGTTAAGCACACAAAGCAAACTTTACTTAGAATATATTTATAAGAATACCAAGTATGGAAACAGATTTTTATTCAGACTGATTTTTATTTTTATTTTAATTTACTGCTCTGATTAAAAACAAACAAACTCAAATGCTTTCCTTTGAGGAAAAAGGCTTTCAACTGAAGCCATCTTCTCAGGTATTATAAAAAGAGGTAAAGGTGAAGTGTTGGCTCTGTTAACCTTGACAATGTCAGTTTGAAGTCCCCAGCCATCTGATTAGTGAGCTTTTGATTTATTTTCTGAAGTGAAATCTTACTGAACAGGGTAAGTAGCTGTCTGCTTGCAGCAAGCAATAAAAGCAATTTCTCATGTATATTAGAATTAGACTGTCAAATCTAAACAGACATTGAATTACTGCTGCAGAATGCATTTGAGTTACAATTTGTGTGGAAGGAACAGTAAGAAAAAGCCACAAGTGAATTGCAAGGCTTACGGTTTTTTTTTAGCCTTCTCTTATAAACTTCCTCTATGGTGGTAAATGGTGGGAGTCAAATAAAATATATAGAAAAATATATAGAAAAAGCACAGATTAGATAAGGTTTGCATTTTAATGAGAATACACATTCTAGTATACTAGAAAGAACATTATTTTTCTACTTTATTTGAGAAGACTCCTGAAAATCTGATGAATTGTTACAATTTTTTTCAAAAGCATTATTACTGCTGCATACTGTCTCTTTTCAAATATAGTCTAAGTGTTTTCCTTAAGGTAGCATGAAGAATCTGTACAGACTCTTCTCCCACTGGATTCAAGCTGAATTGCACCTATCTTCAGCGTGAACTGGGCAAGACACTGCTAGAAGCTGAAAGTTGCTGAGCTCTCAACTTGTTGGCATACAGCTACCTGTCCCTTGAAATATCACAACTTGAGAACCTCATAGAAAATACAACATTCTATTAGTAGGAGAGTCTGCCCATAATACAGTGTTGTTAGAGAAAGTAATATCTAGTTAGACATGCAGTATTTCACATGCACTCTGCAAATGAATAAAATCAGCACTAGGTACATGTTAAGGTTTCACAGAACAGGACTGTCACTGCTTCCGAATAAACAACAGTCAAGTGAGCACTAAGAATGAGGGAGCACAAACCTCCTGAAGTCTCAAATAAAGGCACTATTTGTAAACAGTAGGTGACATCCACAAAGAATTTAGTGCAGCTATCTGATACACCATGGTAAACCTGCACACAGATAATCCTGCACTAAGAGTCAGTATTGTGGATGAAAAAGTTCACTAACGTCATAAAGCTCACAACTGACAGAAGCTGTAGGAAGACTGTGGCATCACTGGTTGTGACCAAAGGGTAAGCAAACTGATCAATCTGTTATTCACCTCTATCAAGTATGCAGACTTAACACAGAAATCTGTGACACAGTCCTGAACAAAGGAAAGATGTGCATTAACAGATGTTTTAGAATGTTAAATCATTCCAACATCATACCTCGCTACTATTGAGACTGTTTGTCTTAAAAAATGGCAACTGTCAAGATTTCTCAAAGTAATTTTGAAGGTATACACAAAAATATATATTCCTTCTGAACAACTCTTTGAAATTATAAATAGAATCCCAGTTGAAAAAATTTCAGTGGAATTCCCCTCCTCTTACCTCTTTCTGCAACTTCGCTATGTGATGAGGTCCTAGATAGCTGACATTGTAAGCGTTCAATTTCTGCATCTTTGAGAGCTAATTGCTCCTGAAGCTGGGCTATCTCAGCCTGAGAGTAAAACAAATTCAGAATAACATGATTATGCGTTCTCTGTGATTTTCTTCCTATGAACTAGAAGATTTCTAAACATAACACTACTTTGAATTAAGTTGTTTTCGCAGTTTGGGGCATTTCATAAACACTATACAACCTTATACATTTCCTGGTGTTCTTCTACAATTCCTTTCACAGAAGCTCCATTTTACAGTACAATTAGCTCTCAGAGAAGAGAGGATTGTGAGACATGTAACATTTTCAAGGACTCATGTATGTAAAGAAAATACAACACTACGAGAAAGCTTTCAATACTACACTGCTGATCATGCAATATTGACTGTGATAGGGCAACTCCTGAGTTTTGCATGAAGACCACTGTAAGACAGCAATTTTTTTTTCATATATTGTTTTTTATTCTAGTTACTACTTCATATAACTTGGGAAAAGTGATTCTTCAGCTTAAAATACAGTGACTCATCCCTTTTTTCTGTTTATGATAAAAACTGTCAATAGCATCCTTTACTACATTAGTAACTAAGTTAAGATTTTCTTCAGCAGCCTGTAGTCCTTTATATTGAATCATTGCATTTCCACCAGCAAAAGCATCAAGAACTTGCTTCTAGTTTAAAGAAAATAATTAAAATCCACTAATGTGTGACTAGTCTTTCAAAATATTAAAATAAAGGCAGAAAAATGCAAGACACTGAATATCAGCTGGACAGGATAAAATATAGACTAAAATATGGACTAACACAAACTTTCTGTTTTTAAACCAAGAAAGGAGGAGGCAGCTGGATGGCAGGAAGAGTTCACCACAATCCTGCCTGCAATCCCTCGTGGAACAGAGAAATCTGCCTTGTTGCATCTCTGAGGGGCTCCTACACTTCCCAGTGACTAATGTGCTTTTTATATCCAGTCATGGAAATACTCCAATTCCTCATCTAAGAAGCTGAAGCAACAGAAAGACAAAGCTGCAGACCTCTTAATACCAGATTTGGATACGCCTCTGCTGGTCTATTTGACCTCGTAGTTCTCTTAATTATTCTCTTTTCTTTTAAATTTTTCATTCCTGTCATCTCTGTAATTATTTTTCTTCTTCCTCTCTTTTTCCCTGTACTCTTATTCTCCCTTCCTATTCTGTAACTTCTCAATAAGTGTTACTAGTCATTGTTATTTTTGCTCTGCTTCTACCCTTAATCTTCATGTGTCTTGGCAGCTGACCACATGCTGCTTAACAAAATATTTTCCTCAAGACTGTTCATTGCTGACACGTCAGAGGAGACATTTTCATGGATATAAGAGCTTTTAACTTAATAAATAAATAATAATTAAAATTAGAGCAAAACATCAATATTCATCTAAGAATTTTCAAAAGAAATGTTAATACAGAAAACAGCTATGTGTCATTTCTGGATCAAACTTTCAGCTATTACAATCACAACTCAGTTTAATAATTTAAAATGTTCTTCCACGATACAGCCACTCAGAGAAGTCAGTCATTCATACAAACAGTGATTATAGCACTGCATGTATGAAAGGTAACATGATGACAGAAGTGTTCCTTGGATCTAAAAAAGGGCTAAAAATTCGAAGTAACTAAAGTGTAACTGTTTAACAATGAGAATGTTCAACCAGAAAAAAAATTACTGGCAAAAATGGTCAAGTGTGTCATATTAAGTTCCTCTAGATTGAATACAACAGCTTTCCAGAAGTTAAGGTCAACACAGATGTAAGCAGATACACATGCTCTCTGATACCGTCACAAAGTCAAAGTACATGGTCTACTGGTGTATTCTGGGTTTAACATCTAATAATCACAGAATGGATGGGACACCAAGGATCATGAATCTCCAACCCCCTGCCACAGGCAGGGCCGTCAATATCCCTATTTAATACTAAACCAGGTTGCTGAGGGCCCCATCCAATCTGGTCTTGAACACCTCTAGGGATTGGGCATCCACAACCTCTAATGAAATTCCATGGTAAGCAATACTCATCCAATTTTGCATGTCTCTTCAGTCTAGAAAGCACATTCTGCAGAGACTTGTCACCATTACACAAAGCAGGTATCTTCCCAGAACAAAATGCCTTTAAAAAACAAAAAACAAAACAAACAAACAAACAAAAAAACACCAAAAAAACAAAGTGTAGGAGACTGGAAACTGCAGGGAGAAGGGAGCAAAAGGCACAAAAAGCAGCTACAAAAACTGTTCTCCAAAATACTTAATACACAGACCAAGGAAACCCGGTTTTATAGTAGGCATTGACACTGTCACAAAAGTAAATGATGATCATCAGGAAGCGCGTATATCCCTTTCTAACTGAAGTAAGTCTGTCATTAGTAAGTGCTAAGCATTCTCCTTACTTTAGTTGCTTTTAATTTCCACTCATATTGATTTCTTTCATTTTCCAGTTCTTCCACTTTAATTTTGAGGTGTCTGAGCTCCTGTAGCAAACCCTGCAAAGGAAAAACAGATAAACATAAGATTACTCAGGCAGATATTAATTCTCCATGGTTATGAATTAAGGATCATGTATTAACCATGTAGTAATGAACACTGAACTATCAGATAAAAAAGCGGTGGTTTCGTCTAACCAGATAACAACTATTTTGAAAAGAGAGATTATTCTAAGGAACAGTTTTCTCTAATTCTCTATCAGAAATTACGAGCAAATTTCTTGGTCCTATTAAGGAAGACAGCTAACCTGGGGAAAGCTGACCTCGGAGAAAATGAGCCCACAGCTACAGTCTCATGCAGCATTAACTATTGTTTTTTACTTGTTTGCTTTTGCCACCATTTCAGAAAACAAGCAGAAGCATATGAAGCTCTAACGTGAGTTATTTCTATTAAAGTGACAGTCCAAAGGAACACTTAAGCTACTTACCAAGAAAAACAATTCAGACTACAAAATGCTTGTTTTTTGGCATTGAATGCCACACACGTATAGTGTGTGTATATGACTATCAATATACTACTTTCTGCATGGATGATTGCAACTTGGCAAACAGAGTTGCTGCAGACCAGAACTGCAGCAAACTCTTGTCTATTCCTCTGACAAATTGTCCCTTCTCCCTTTCCACCAGCCATATCTTAGTGTTCACTCTTGAGGACAACACAGTGACGCACTGGAACAGGTTGCCCAAGGAGGCTGTGGATGCCCCATCCCTGCAGGCATTCAAGGCCAGGCTGGATGTGGCTCTGGGCAGCCCGGTCTGCTGGTCGGCAACCCTGCACACAGCAGGGGGGTTGAAACTACATGATTGTTGTGGTCCTTTTCAACCCAGGCCATTCTACGATTCTGTGATTCTCGATAGAACTTCGATGAGACCAATGAACTGAAGAACGGAAAAATTCGGAAGCAAAGCCACGTTTTGGAATCTTGTATACTACATGCATCACACAACCACAGTATTATCTTACTAATGATCATTGTGAATATTAAAAATGGACTTTTTAAAGCCAGATCAACATCATTCAACCTTCATTTTAAGCAGTTTATGCACAATAGCTTTTGTTTAGACATCTGGCATGATTTTGACCAAATACAGCTAGGATCTACAAAGTAAATTTAAGAACGCTTTTCTCATAACTGCTGATGTCAGAGTCGGTAAAAATGTGTCAGATCTGCTATGTTACAGGCACAGGGAGATAGTTTTTATAGGATATACTTCAAATAGACTTACCTGAATGTGCATTTTATACCTGCGTTAAGCTTTTAGATATGCAGAAATGAATAATGATCAGCATTCAGAGGACTGGTTAGAGTGATGTTATTGTGAGGAAAGTTAACAAACTATCAAACCATGCTACACAGCAAACAAATCTCAGTGAAGGGAAAAATAAAAAAGGCAGACAAGGAGAAAACCAAGCCAACCAACAAAACCACACCAGTAGCATCGGCCTACAAATAAGATGCAAATAATATAAAACCTGAGAGAGGTGATGGTTCTTATGGATATCTGTGTTTATGTAGATAAGAGTGCAATGATGACCAAATTTGTCCTAGTGACTGGGTAGAAGATAAGGGGGCAAGGTGTCTAGGTTTTTTTGTTTTTGTTTTAGTAAGTTTGACAACCACCTCTCTCTTACTCCTACTCATGAGAGTCAGAATGATTAATGTCACTAATTCACAACATAACCCTGGTTAACATAATTTAGTTTCTGCAAGAGAAGAGGCAATACACAGGCTGCTGCTAATGTATACCTCTTGTACATCACACTGAGAGCAATTCTTCTGGCTGACAGTCTCTACCACTGATGTTGGGCTAGACTGAGGACCATTAGGTGTCACACTGGATTTCCTATCTTGGGATTTTCTTTCTTGGATTCTACTATTAATTTCCAGCTGCAGTCTACACATCTGCTCCTGTAGCTCACTTATCAGGTTCACTACCGACTGAAAATATGGGAATAACAAAAAAAGACAGGTGAGAAATAAAAATGCAGACAATATGCAAAGAAAGTATTGGTATAGCTGCAGCACAGATAAATACAGAAGGAATATCAGAGGCAACCTAAAAAGACAATGTGTTCCCTTTCTGGTAAAACCTGAGAATGGGCTTTGTATAGAACGACAGATTAAATAGAACAGAATCTATGTTCCAGACCAATACATGACTTTTCATTTCTTCCAAGTGAATTAAATTTAATGAGATTAATCCATCTCCCACAGGAGTAAAGAAGTTTTTAATGGACAAAAGACAAAGTGTATATACACATTTTTATTCTTCATTATCATACATATAAATCTTGTTGTAATCCGAACTCTGCTGATTCAGTAACTTCAAAGCTGCAGTGCCAGAGCATAAACTGCAAGAACCGGGCACTGCTTCAACCAGGTTAAGTATTGAATTATTCAATCTCAAGCTGCACCAGCAACCACAGACTACTTCAAATATTCACAAAGATTCTCTTTCAAAAGCTTACATGTAAGTTAGCTAAAATAAATTTACATCTATTAAATATTTTTGAAAAGCACTGTGCTTAAAATGAAATTCAGAATAGCAGCTGCAAATATTTCCCTTCCTGCATATCACTCTGAGTCAGGCTCACAACATTTGATGCTCAACTTTTCTCATCCAACAAATCTTTTACGCACCTAAATGAGGATTAAACTCCTTAAAAAAAACCCAAGAAGTTTAGTTGGTGCACCTGGCTCCAGCACACCAACTCTCTAGCATCCAGTGTTTTATAGGCTGAGATGCTTTTCCAGGGCTATTCAGTTAAGAAAAAGATAGTTTATTTCATATGAGCTCACCTAGACGAAACTACATCCCCTGTATTTTCAGTACTGCCACTTCGCAGCAACACAGGATATTGGTGAGGAGTGCATCCCTGCAGCTAATCCATCCTCTTAGCAGAGCACTGCAAAGCAGAACACTGTTCATACTTGCTGCATGTATAATTTAAATGCTATCCACAATCCTTCCATCTTCCATGCTTTGAATTTGTTTTCTCTTCTGTCGTCATCTCCACACTCAGACACCTCACTGAGGAGCAGAGTCCTTGTGGTACATATCTATCTCCTTTCTTTTAAGCACCACTTGTCTTTGTCAGAAAGCGCCATTAAACAATTTGTTAAGCCACTGGTCAAACAAGATGCACAGACTGGTAATTGCTCTGGTTGTAGCACAGTGAGAGAGTTCAGAATCACAACTACTGCTGCTACTTTTCTGCTTCATGTTCACAAAAGCAATGGGAAACTCTCTGCATCTACACAGACTTCCTTCAGGGAACACCTGACAGCATAGAAGTGGCAGAAAACTTTATTCTTCACTGGGATACCTTAATCTTTTCCATAAGCCTAACTCCAGAGCCAATGTATGTCTCACAGTTGTTTTCAGTTTCCAGATAAAAATGTCTCCTTTTTTGAGATTCTTTCACAGCATGATAAATTATTAATATTAAAAACCCTGTCTTAAACTTGATTCAGTTGAGGCAGCACAATCAACTCCACAGTGCTGTGCTGTGTCAAAGACCAGAAAGAATTACTTGGCTCGCTGACTCAAATTTCTCTGAAATGGCAAGTAATTGTGCATTAGGTATTTATATCAGAAGTGTCCACACAACAGCCATAACACGGTTTCCAACAGCATATAGCAAACTTCAGATCCTCAGCACAAAAAAACCAAACCCCACAAAACTTACCACATTAAAACAAAATATAGGAGGAGAGAATAAGGCCTGTTAGCAAGTTGAAATGGGCACTTATTCTTGAGGCCTCCTGATAGCAATAGGTCATCTCTATTGCCCATGTTTGGGTAAGGCAAGCTGCAGATAATCACTTGATCACTTGGGCTGCAGATAATCACTTGATCATGTTGCTCTCTCAAAACTTGCAAACACTGAGGAAACTTATTTCTAAGATTTCTAAGTTTCCTCAGGTAAGAGAAGTTACACAAATGCCCTCGGGTGGGATCTCAGAAACCTTCACAGCAGACAAGACAACATTATTCCACATACAGGGAATTCAAGTGACAAAGGCAGGAGTGAGACCATCCACTTACAAGTAGCTATTCTCTTGGCTCCTGTGTTATAACTAAATGCCATTATAAATTTAGCATGTGCATTTGAAGAGCCAAAGACAAGTGGCATTCAGACCTGAAATTAATACCTTTGAGAGCCAGATACTCAAACTCTTTGCTGCTAACTAAAACTAAACCACAGCTGCATAAGATAAACAGAAATGAATCTGATTAAGACTCATTAATATTTAGAAAAATATCTTAATTTGCTTTGTTTCTCCTCAAACCAACCAGAAAAATAATTATATGGATAAATTCAATGTGACTGGAAACAGCTGCTGTGAAATGAACTGACACAAAATTAAGAGTACAAAGGAAGTATGTTTTAGCTGACTTGTTTCACAATTTCACATCTTGTTTTAAACTTTTATTAACTTGCTATCATACTCAGAAATGGCAGTCAACCATAAATTATAATTAACGGGCACCTTAACAGTGTTTGAGTTCAAGACGCCTCCGTAACACGTGGTAGGGTGAAAGCAGTACTATTCTGATAGTAAGAAAACTATGAAATCACTGTTCTGCTCACCTCTGTCAATCCTAATCTTAGTCTTGAAAGCAGCAACCAGCCAACTGCACATAAGAGAAAGGCTCTGTCACCGACAGCTTCGTCCCACTTGTATAAAAGTATTAATTGCAATTTCATTTGACATATTAGACACTGAAAGAGCCTGTTGAAGTAGCCACAACACTCAGAGATACAATTACAGGAAGATTAATTTCATTCAGCCACTATCAGTTTGGAGAACAGTGTCACCCAAGAAATTAGGTTACCCCAGATTCTTTGCTTACTTAAGAATAGATTACTCACTTGAAAGTCATAGCGAGGCAGTGAAGGCTCAGAATGAATTTCAAATGACACTAAAGGCATGAAACATAAGCAGCATTTGCAGTCCAATAGTATTAAGAAAATATAATAATAAATTTCACTGTGATGTTTGAAACCATGGTTGTATTGAGAATTAACAAAATATAATAAAAAAAAAATAATAGTAAAGGGAGCTGAAGTTGATAGAGTAAAGCATTAGAACTCAAGTAAGCATTCAGTTGAACCCCCTGTTTGTCTTGAAAAATTGGATTACTATTTACTTATGGCAATCTGAAATAAATGTATAAAAGAGTTCAACAAGCAAACTGAAAATGCTTTTTATTTCTTACAGTTTTAGTTATAAGACTCATTTTCCTTGCTTTGTATATGTAGGCTTGCAACTTTCAATAGGCCAGAAATCTAATCACTTCTCGGGGCAATCAATAATTCATAGAATACTTAACACAATGATTCTCAACTTTTCCATTAGGTTAGGATCCTTTTCCATCTCAAGAGGGCATTTCCTATCACTTAAAAATACAACAAAGGCTTCCAGACCAATAAAACTAAACTTCCATCCTAGGAGGCTACACGTCCTGCTGCAGTAGCAGAAGAATTTCACAGATCACAGACTCACCTTCATCACAGCCCCAGACCTACTCAGCACTTAGAAATACTGTCAATGCAAATGCACTGAAGAGCTTTGTTGCTTTCCAGGAATTAGGCTGACTGTGGATATCCTGAACTAATTCAAACAGCTTCTTCCTGGTATTCAACATGTAATGGGAAGTGCTAAAGGCCTCTCAGAAAGATAGCAGCTGAAAACAGGCTCCCACCTGTAGCAAGTACATGTTGCACAGACCTTTTTAGATTTCCAGGTAGTATGCCACTGCTCAGGCCTTCCGTACACAGGACACTAATAATTATGGGTGAAAGAGCATGAGAAGGCCATGGATAGCAAAAACAGCAGCTGGTGCCTCTCTGGCTTGCAAACTGCCAGCAAATGCTCTCTGTAAGCAATCTTTGGATCTCTAAACAAAACTTCAGAGCACAACTAAGTCAAAAAACAAACACACCCAAACTTATGTCACTGCAGGTGAATTACTTAGAAGAATACTTGATAAATGTCTATTAACATTACAGAGAGCAATCTGTTTTCTAACACCGCCTGTATTACAGTTTCTTTTAAGGCAACATGGAACAAAGTCTTTTTTCAGTTATCGAAGCATAAATCTTGGCCAACGCACAGCCCTACTAATCCTTTCCTGCCAGGTAACCCTACCAGTTTATGTGGTCTCTCTACAGGAGATGGCACTTCATCTGAATTACTGTCTTCCATAATCCGTTACCTCTCCAGTTCCCACCTGCTGCTCACTACACAGAGGTTTCAACGGAACTGTGCTCCCTCAAAAAAATAGTTCATTTTATTCCTATTTCATACTCTCTTCCTTAGCTAACACAGTGAAAAATAAAGCTGTGTTGATATCCCGAACTTTCCAGTTCTAAAGGAGAAAAATGATTAGAATTTCTTCCAGTGCAAGTGATTTCCACCCCCCGCCCCACTAAATATTTGTTATGTAAACAAGGGAAAGGGATTATTTGAGGAAAATACCCTGCTCCTAGCCTGCCTCTCCCAACAACGATGAATACATTAAAATTACTGAGGGCCTCTGCATACAATTTTCTGCAGCATTCCTGATACTGCTAAACTTACAGTCTTCTCTGTCAAGAAAACATGGAAATAGATTCAATAGGCTTCAAACAGCCATGCCTGTGGAAAGGAAAGAGTTAAGTGAAAAAAAACCAGCATGCTGCTGGAATGGACTTTGTGTCTTGATTAAAGCCAAACAGCAAGCTCTGAAACATAATGAGAGAGGAAAAGAAACCACATCCCAAAAATGCATAATCATATTCCTCACTGAATTCACAGGACCAAGAGTACAGATGGGGTCTAAGAACGAGAGGAAACTGCATGCTGTTTCCAGATCAGCAGATGTATGACCAGAGACAGAGGACAAAAAAATAATGAAAAAGAAAGAAGCAAGAAGCTCACCTCAGCTTTGTTCTGTTTCTCTTCGTATTCACTCTGTTCCTTTTCCATGCCAACAAGCTTAATCTTCAAGTCGGAAACTTCAGCCATTAAATCTAATTTCTGAGTCTCTAGTGATGTTCGACTTAGCAGCTCCTGAAAGCAAAACAGAATATTTTCCCAAGTTATTTTCATTTAAACACTGACAGAATGCTGCATGATTTGCTGGCAAACTCATAGGTCTCTACCCCTTTGTTTACACTTTCAATACAAAAGCAAAATGGTTCTCTTCTTCAAAAGCCACAATCACTACTACTTTACCATGCAAAAAGTGCTTAACACTGCAAGTAGAAGAAGTAGCTAAAAGAGTTCAGAGTGATCAACTAGTTCACATGAAAGCAAATTTCTCTCTCCCTCTCCTCATGTTGTATATACTCTGAACTGTTTGAACTCTGTTTCTCAAACTCTGCAGTTATTTTCACCTACATGTTCTCCTGTGTTAATCACTAAACCACTGTCCTCCTCCTCACTTCAACACAATGTCTGGCACAGAGTCAATCCCTGTGCAAAACACAAAATCAGAAAACAGTACTAAGGCTGAACTAACACAATGCTACATAATGCCATAAAGACCTTCAGATGACACATTACAGAATGATTGACTACTTTCTAAAACACTCAGACTAAGCCATGTTTTAGTATTATAATGCAAAGTTCTACAACATTTTATCACGTGTTATTCAGCACAGGATGTACTGAAGCACAAGCACCGAACCAAAACCGAGTACCAGTGCTAAGCAAAATTTCTGCTGTCAAGCTAACAGTACTTGAAAAGTTAATACTGTATAGCAGTTAGTAACTTCACAAGAATACTAACTTTGGAGGGAACAGTACTGAATGAGAAATGGTGTGACATAAATGGAACCTAAGTGCAATGTCTAAACTGACTAACACCATAAGCTAGGAAACAACTGACCATGCTTGTGTGTCCTGAGCTCAGTTTTCAGATTGCAGAAATACTTGGTGGAGACGCTATCACCGTCTTCGGAAAACATTCCACATTCACCTTTATTGCAACTTTCAGTTTCCAAGAAAGCCAAAACCAGAATACACTATCCAAAATTGCCTCTCTTGGTCTCTAATTTCAAAATGAGAAATCCATTCAGAACTTTAAGTCTTACAGAACATTCAATACCTAACTTTCCAAGTGCCTAACTTCTTCTGTAAAAGATCTTAGGTTTCAGAATAGAGGCAGGTTGCTCCCAAAGCCACAGAATGTGTCTTGTCCTTCACATCACTGTTGCTGCTGCTCAGATGCACCACCCACTGCACCTTACTTTGCCAACATCCACCATTTGATCTCCATAAACATTCAGCCAGTGTTGACGAACATCAGTCAGTACCAATTTTTTTTTTCATGGAAGAATTCAGTAACACACTTGTGCTCCTCCTGCACTTCCATGTCAGACACCATTCTGTCAGACTGTCCCTCTGCTGCCATCTGTCACACAGCAACAACCTCTACTATCATCCCACCAAAATCCGCCTCTGATGTCATGAGCCAACGTAATAAAATAGAAGGCATTTTTAGAGCACTCTTCATGTATACTAATTTTTAGCTTGTTTTGTATTTTTAATTAGATGGTAATCCATAACTGACATTGATGTTTTGGTCATATTAAGCATACTGACAAATTTCAGCAGATTCCACTTTGGATTACATGGAAAGTGATTTAGAATTTGCATAGTTATTCTGGATCTGTACTAATGCTACTGAGAGTTCAGGAGCTGCCCTTTTGATCAGCACCCTTTTCTCATGTCTTCCTTTTACCAAGCTATGAAACATGTTGTATACCACCCTTTGGAGCCAAGGAAGCCACAAACCTTATTTTAAAAATGATGCCGTTAAAGATCACTTGGAACCCAAATCCGTTTTACATGTAAATTGTTTTAGTCTGCTGGGGAATACTGCCCAAATTAGAAATGGTACTGAACTCGCAACTGCATTACAACACCAGTTATCTAAGCCACCCACTATTCCCAGTGTCATGCCCACTCCTGCTGACACTGACAATGGGATTTGTGTATGGGTGGAAAAATAAACAAATGTAACCCACCCCCACTTTTTTTTTTTTTTTTACCTTGAACAGAATAAGTTAAGTAACAATCAAGACCATTCAGTTCTAAAAATCAGTCACCTAGTGAAATCCCAGAGCTAGCTAAATTCTACTAATATGATTTCAAGCACAATTATAAAACAAACAAACAAACAAACAAAAACTCTTAACATTCCAGGAATACAGGACTACATCTCCACTATCTTGGACAAATTCCAGAGGAATATTCCAGCCCAGACTGGAATGGGCTCTGTGCAGCTGGTAACACAGGAGACTTGTAGAGATTAATATACAGCTGAGATATAAATGAGAATTTGTATATGGAAATAGGGACAAAACATCAAAGAGACTGGCAGGATGGGGTGACTTTAGCCTCACTGACAGGCTCTATTCACTGTTGAACTGAAATAACATTTAGACTACTCTTTTTTTCTTTGACATTGATGTAGCATTTGATGATGCAAGGGGAAGATTTCTTAATAAGTCAAGGAGACAGCATCCATCTAGACATTTTCAACAACAGAGCTCCTTTGAGGTACTGTCTGGTATTAATGCTTAGTTTTTCAATAGACTCCTAAATTAAATTTGTTTGTGCAACAAAGAGTAATACCTCAGTCCTCTCCTGAGTTCCATAGCTCCATGTGAACGGTAAGGTGCTACCTGGGATGACTGAGCATGAAGGCAGCTTCTATTTACTGATTTTTTTAAACTCAAAATCTTAGTTTGTTCTGAAGATGGACGATTGGATCCTCATCTCGTGTAAACTGGCATAAATCTCTTGCCTTAAAATAGACAAAATAGCTAGCTATCCCTGGTTTGTTTTCAGTGGATTTACACTGATTTAAAACAGCTGACAATTTATCTTGCATCTAGAGTGCCTAACTTTTGCTTTGAAAGAAAGTGCCATTTTAAGTAACTGTCCCCTCTTGAAATGGATAGAACATCTGGAAGCAATTATTTTCCTCTTCAAGCAGATGCTCAGAGAGAATAACTCATTAGAGAATGTGACCCATTTTGCTACAGAGAAATTATAGTGTATTTCAGTGGTAAGATGCAACATGAAGCCATCCAGAATAAATATGAATTGAAAGAAAAGAAAATACAAATTTAAGTTATTGGTTTTAAAGCAAAAAAAAAGATAATGTAAGAGAGGGAAAATTGTAATTTGGCTGTAGTAGCTTTAGGAGGATCTTAAAGATCAGACGTATAGAACAGAAACAGAATGTATACTATGAAACCTTATGTATAATAAGCATGTTACTTGTTTTTCATTTAGTAAGTACTGTAAGTATAATTTATTTCCCTGTAGTTCTTTTTCTGAAAAATCAACTTTAAAAATTAAGGAAGAAACTGTTTTAGAGAAGGACAGTCACAAAGATGGTTTTGCAGAACCTGCAATCTGTGTATATCAGATGGATCAATGCCAAACTACTTCCAAACAACTGTATTTTTAAAATTCACACTGTGTATTTTTTATTTAATCATGCTTTTTTTTTTTCAATATTCTCAGTGAAACTGAAGCATGTAATATGTGTCACTTTCAGATTTTGTTGGCTTGGAAATACATATTTCTCATAAAGCTGCTTATAAAATTTAACATCATAGAAAATAACTTAGAAAGAAGCACTGCTCTGTTCTAGGCTGTCTGTTGCAAGCACAGTAAATTACAGAATATTTAGCAGTCTCCAAAACAGAAAAAAAAGGATCAGGCTACACTGATTCATAAATCATAAATACGATTTTAGTCAAGTGGACAAAAAGCACCCCAAAATCCCATTTTGCACTTGTACAAAATACAACAGTCAAAAATGTCTTAATTCTCATATTCATTAAAGCAGCCGAGAGATAGACAGAGAGAGAGAGAGAGAGAGAGGCAGACCCACCTACCTGGTAAGCAAAATTCAGCAAGAACCACTGCCAGAGAAGACCGTACTTTTTGAGTGCTGTGTGTCAGCTGTGGTGGAAATAAGATATTTAACTGAAAACACAGCTGACAGCAACGTACGTGTGTAATTGCTATGAAATGGTGCAAGTCAGTAGCCGAGAGTGAATTACAGCCCTCAAATTCATCGTTTGTCTATTATATAGTTAAGCAACAGAAAGAATTTCCCAGCGCACTGACGGTTTGAACAGTCCTTTGCGTACATCTGACAATCAGATGTGCCTGTAGCTGTTAAATAGCAGAATGGTGTACTGCTCACCTGTATAGATAAGCTGCACTTGAGAGCACGCTCTAAAAATCTCAAGCCTTCTAACTAGAGCAGCACGGAACACATTTCAAACTCTGAAACACTAAGCCAGCAGCTGGCAAGAAGTTACTGCATGTTATAAACAAGTGCTGAAATCCATTTAAGATCAGATAACTCAGGCAATTGAAAGCTGAAGGAATGAACCTTGCCAGCCAGCAAAGTTCCTGAGAAGCAAACAGATATATACCAGATTTGAACTGTGCAAAAAAGATAGGATTCTTGCTTCTTCAAGTACAAGACAACAGAAAACCAGAATAGGTTCATGTCAAAACACACTGAATTCAAGTTTTTACTCTTTTATAGCTCCTCCTTGCATTCCTTTAATCCAGTGTTTTTTAAAAAGAGTCTCCACTGTGCCTCACCAAGTCTTTGTCTAGCACACATTCACCTGCTATGTACACCCAGGTAGAAGCTGGCCATAAAATTACATCAGAGAGAAGGAAAGCACTGAAATTAACTCCTGTTTGCATTTAATAATTTCAGTTTCCATGTGTTTAAGACAGAAAGAACCCTAAGGCCAAGTCCTTTGTACTCTGCAACAGAATTTACTTGATGGAAGACAATTAGGTTTATGCAATGCAGCCATCTGACCGGTCCTTCAGGATTTGGTGCAGGTCTGATATAAGACAGACACTGCCACACAGATCAGTGTTTTGGCAAAATAAACATAGAGCTTCAATGGCAACAAGTATCTGTTAAACCAATCAAGTGCAGAACAGAAATAGCAAAGAGTGTTTTTACTTGTGGTAATTACTATACCAAATGCACATAAACTGTGGAGGTGAAATCTGTAAGTGCAGACTTTTCAAACTGAACTAGCACAACTGACAAGAGCAACAACACTAATTTCAAAGCACCGGTGCGTTTACACTATGCATGGCTGGTGCTTTCTGATATGGGCCAATATAAGCTACTTCATAGAGCAAAATTTACTTTTGCTTTCCAATCACGTTCAACAATTTGTATACAGTACAAATATATTAGAAATGGATTGTCATAGTATAAGTATTTTTTTTAAAGATAATTCTAGAAATAGGATTGTTTTTTATTATTAGAGACAAATTCTTCTCTATCTAAGGTGCAAGGGAGCTAACAATTCACACAGCAGTTCCGTATCTTTTACAAGCTTGATGGTAAGACTTGATGGCAAAATTGGAAGGTAATTCAGAGAGACCAAACTGGGGTCTTGTTCCCAGACAGCCTCCAGAAAGTTTTCTCTTATCTTTGAGTATGACTGAAGGACAAGGAAACAGTTTTCTTACAGCATAATACAAGGATACCTAAGGACTGATATCAAGTTTTGCCATTAACTTTCACAAGACAGTCCTACTTTGTTTTAAAGAAATTGCAAATGTCTTCAAGACAGAAAACGTTGTTTCTTAGAGTCTGTAGTAGTGCAAGTATTCTTAGGTAAGCAAAATGTTGAGTTTGATACTGTAGTATTACAAGTCAGGGAAACATACAGGTGATATTTTCTTCAGCTGCAGCTCTATAAACAGCTAGGTCAAATGAGCATCCACACCTACCTTGACCTCTTCTGTGAGCTGGTTCAATTCAGTAACACAGAGGAAAAAAACACAACAAAAAAAAGACGAACATCCTCTTCTTTTTATAACCCTCCTTGCTTTCTATCCAGTCACTGGGTCAAAATTATGAAAAATTATGAAAGTGAATACAAAAAAAATTGTAGAAGCACATGGACAAGGACAAGAAAAAGAGCAGAATGATGAAGCTTTTTTTTTTTTTTTTTAGTAGGAAACTGCTAGATAATATCAACTAATTTCCTCTGTGCTTTCAGTAAGAACTGTTGCTCCCTCCTCTTAGAGAGATGAAGAATCACAATTTCCCCCAAAGAACCTGCAATCTCTGTTGCTGCTATTCAGCATTTAAGATGCCCACTCTAAACGCTGAACAACCGTTTTATGTAATTCAGATAAAGTTTGTTCTAGCTGCATTTGAAAAGTTGCCATGATAGCTTTGTAGCTGAGTTCAAAACAACTGCATAAATCATAAGCCAGAAGGATTTTAGCCAGTAACCCCACCCGTACAAAGTGGGCAAGCCTCTGCTAGCATAGATTTAGCAAAAACTATTTTGCAGGGGAGAGTTGCACACCCTTCTGTTCTGGTACCACCAAATATCTTGTTATGTAACTTCATTAAATTATCTGAATAAAGTGCATTAGTCTTTAGTGTAGCATTTTGGGGGCAGAATTTTGTAACATTTCTTATAGTTCCCAAATTCAAAAGATATGGCTATCCTGGACTCATGTATACTGCTTCCCAAATAAGTAAATATGCTGTGCCTACTTATACTATATACCGCAGTTAGCCTAGTTATATAAAAAAAAAACAAAAACACATTAAACACATGGCAACGAAAGGCAATTATTTTCATTCATTTTCCCATTTAGAAGCAGCAGTTGACTTAAGTTCACAAAGGTAAGAATCAATGTAGTTCAATAGATTCTAAAAAAACAAGCAGATCCAAGTAAGATTGGATTTACAATGCACCTCAAGAGAATAACCGAAGTCTTCCTGGAAAGCAGGACTATCCATACCCATAGTTAAGACTGGATGATTATTTCTTATTACAAACAAGTTAGTTTACTGTAAAAATAAATACAGTTTGATTGCCCTTGAAAGACCAGAAAGAAGCTTTTTTTTTTTCTTTTTTTTTTTTTAAACTGGAAAAACGTAACATCAACATTAATATCTTTCATTTATTTGCTAACTACCACAGGCTTTTGTACAGAACACTGGAAACTTTTGGCTAACAAGATCTCGTTTAGATTAAAACAGGAACTTTCTACACTCTACTCCATCTTCCTGAAGTTTGAAAACATTTCCATAATTTAAGTAGTTACTGTTCTTTGAATTTCACTTCAGATATCTAAATTAAACATATCTGCTGGTTATATTTTCTAAAATGTCCTCTCCCTCCTTTAAGTAAAGCATAAAACTTTTCTCAGTTGTAAGCATTTGGGGTTGCAACAGTTGTGTGGGGTTGCAACAGTTGTGTGCGACCAATTTTGTTTTCTTTTGATGAAGAGCTTTAACTGCAAGAGGTTTAGGATACACATTTACCAGATGGAACACTACATCCTGCACATTCCTGGTCTAGATTTTAAAGGCTTTTTATAGTTTTAAATTTATTTTCAATATCCATGTACTGTATTACCAGCAGATTATCTGCATATGTCGTAACTTGTCTTGATAGAGACCCAAGACTGCACGTGGAAAGTTCTTTCATGTCCACAGACTTGTCAGCTCCGCAGTAACATGAAATGTAAGACACTTATTATTCATTCATTCTCCTCAATATATACCATGAAACAACAGCAATGAATTAAACCACGTAGCTTGAAATTATTGATTGAAATATTGAAAATTATCTTCATATACTTTTTGATTTTTCAAAAATAAAGGAAAAACTCCTAAATAAAGCAAAAATCATTAAAGAACCAACTTTGATAGAATAATTCATTTCAATGCACTAATTGTTCAGCTTTAAAGATATAGAAAAACTGAAACTATTTAAGTAAGACAACTTAATTCTGTAACTGCTACATACAGTAGGTACTCATAACCTGTCTAACCAGTTACTCAACCACATCCAAATTTAGTTCGTCAGCACAGTACGAACAATACACAATAGTTTCATTTTACATGCTGCCACATACGGCATTATGCAACCAGCCAATAAAACATTTCTGCAACGGGAAAACAAAGAAATATTTATTGCAAAAAAGTAGTTTGCAAAGTAGCAAGAACACAATAAAAAGAGGCAATTCTTTTTCTGTTTTCTCTTGCTACCAAAGGCACTCCCACATGCAGGCAAACAGAGAATGTACGTTCTCATCTTTCTCAAAGGAGATTATGCAAAAACCTTTCCAATCTAGCTCTTTACCTGTTGAAGCATTTCTTCTGTAGCATTCAGTTTCAACTGATGTCCCTCAAGACAGATTTCTAAGTCCCGTATTTTCTCTCCTTGAGCTTCTACCTGGTCTGTAAGAACGCTCACCTGTAATAAGAGAAGAGAAACACAATGATACTGAACTGACAGTAAATAAGTTTGAATTACCTTGTACAATGAACATTCAAATGCACATTTTTACAATGAATTCCCTTTTAAAGTCCTCAGTTGTTTCACACACTTTCATAACTTGCTCTATTGAAATAGACAACACTCCATTCTCGTGTACAAATAGTTTGATTCAACTCCTGTCCGCTTAAATCGTTTTTGTTGGCTTTTTTTTTTTTTTTTTTTTTTAGTATATAGAAGAACATTTCTAGAAGAGCTAGAAGACTACTTACAGGTAGCCTGAGTCAGTTCACGTACAAGTCTGAACAATCAGAAAACAGTAAACAAGAACATAGTACACTGAAAATATTTTAAGTGGTATAGAAACACTGCTATTTCAGGTTCTATTGGTACTTTGTTTCCCTGAGCAGGTAAATGATAAAACTGCTCATTTGGAATCTAACCGATTAATTGACATCTTACAAGAAGAGAAAAATAGCTTACCTATAACAAAGCATGTTGAACTTACAAAGAATGCAGTAAGTAAAAGGCATGTTTTAGCAGAGGCAAAGTTCTATTAAAAAAAAAAAAAATTCCCAGGTTTTGCAAGCCAAAACATGAAATCAAAAGAAGTGAGATACAGACAACAAATCCCAGGAAAAAGAAACAATAAGCCATACTGGTAAAGAACTGTGGGAATACTGGCTTGTGAAACTTAGGAAAATTAAATGCAGCACAAAATTAGAAAGATGTGAAAAAGCAATGTTAATTCCTATGTTAAGCAGCACATACACTCCATGTATTATTTTTGTTATTAATTTTATTAAAACAGTTTCCACCACAGACAACTTTGATTACACTAGAAAATGTTACCTCAATCAAAAAAAGAAATTAATATCAGGTTTGTATACTCTAAAATGTTTTAACAGAAATTTACCTATGCTCTCACATCCAACTCTGGAGTACCTCTGCTTAAAATCAATAACTATCCATTTTTGTTTTTACCTATTTTTGTTTTTTACCTAAGCACAATGACAATGCTAGCTGGGAAAGGAATGCAGAAAAGTAGAGTGTTTTATTTTTATGTCTTTAAAATCAGCTGTTCCTAGAGAAGAGCACAGATGGATACGGGACAAGAGAAGACAGGAAGGAGCAGGTGGAAGGAGATCATGATATTTTGCCACTCTTGCCAAGAAGGGCACTAAGACACATCTGAGCTGGCGGGGAGAAAGTAACTCCACACAAGAAAGTTTGTTGCTTACCAACTTTTTTAAATTTTGCTCGCATTACAAGGGTAAGGGAACACAGAAAACCCTGAGAGGTCAGAAAGCAAGAAGAAGCAAACTCAAGCCCCTCCTTCAATCTAATGCAGTTTCCAGAGCAAGAAAACAAGCTTGACAGAGGGATTGAGGTAAAGTTCCACCCAGTATTGTAACCTGTAAGAAAAGTTGTGTGTATTAAATGGGACCTGCAAAGCCATTTTGCAAAAGCTTAGCTTTAGAAACATTCTGTTGGATATTCCAATGCTAGGCTGAGATACATTAGCTAGTTCAAGCTCATATTTTCCCCTCCATTTAAGATCACACGTGCCAGACTCTTCTGGGAATCAGTAAGCAGCACACAGAGTACAACCTCAGTCAGTGTACGTTGCACTAGCAAGTCCATCTTGCCTTAGCAGTGCAGCACATACAGAAGACCTGATTATCTGACCATAGGTAATATGTTTTCTTTGAATATCTGTAATGGGGTATATTGTGTTCAAGAAATATTTAAACATTGTACCGAGGGACGTGCTTTAGTGGGATATATTGGTGATAGGCAGACAGTTGGACTGGGTGATCTTGGAGGAATTTTTCAACCATGGTGATTCTGAACAATTGGCCAAATTTAAAATGGTATAAAGGTTTAAAATATCTTAGAAACAAGATATTTGTAGGAAAAACAAACTAACAGAAAAAACATAAACAATAAGAACCAGATAGCTCAGAACCTAGCCCAATTCTGTACCTTTGCATCCTCTTATTTTTGTTATTCATGTTCAACTGCCAGAGAATTTATCACCATGAGAAGTCCACCTGTGCAGAATGACCATAAACAGCTGGCTGCGTGGCTTGAACTACAACCAAAATGTGTATATGCATATGTATATGTGATGACACAGGGTACAAAGGACCCCTTCAGGGTCAAGGCCACAGATACTTTAATTGAACCCTATGCTTCTGAATGAACAGCTGGGTTTGGTCTCTTCACTGTTGCTTCAATTATGTGTATGCGTGCAAGTGTGAGAAATGAGTGTACTGTGTGAAAAGTTGTTTGTTCAAAATAGAATCAATGTGCTTCACTCAACTACAACGTGATCCACAAAAGGTAATCTAATAAATATTAGTTGCAATGCTGTCTCCCGTACTAGAAAAAAAAACAAAACAGGAATTAAGAAAATATAAACATTTGAGTTCTAACTAGAAAAACTTATTTTTCACCCAGGATTTGTTTTGTTGAATTTTTACTTCGTAACGGCAGTTTTCATGTAATTGTAACTAAGCTTCAAGAGTGTGTCTTACAAACAACTTGTTGTTTATTTAACAACTGTGAGAATTCTGCAAACTTCTGTAAACAGTGCAAGTGTGAAAAGAACATAAAAGATAAAATATATTCACAGAAACTAACAACAGAAAGGAGAACACTTACCCAGTTTATTCAAGTTGTTTCTTTTTTAATGTGTGCATACACATACACACATACTCTTATGATGTCCTTTCACAAGTGTGCAGTGAATAAATATGCAAAACCATTTAAAGAACATCCAGCTTCAGTTAAAATCATGCAGTGCAATTTCATAACAGTGAGGATATTCAAGCAAAAAAAAAATCATTATTTGTACAATATGCATTTTTCCCAGAAAAAAAACATATGTGGAACAGAAATCTATTTGAAAGCAGGTTGGCTTGGTAAACTGAGAAATGGGAAACTTGGAAGAAGTTTGCATTTTTATTGTCATTTTTTTAATTCTCTGTTTTCACTGTCTCCTAATCGTTTTGATGATGCAGAGTATGCAACACACAAGTATGGAAAACATCACTTCTATCCACCTGTGATTTATCAAAAACATTCAATTTCTGATTTTTATTCCTGAGATTTACAAATCCTCCAGTGATGACCAAACCAACATCCATATGGGGTGTGTTGTTTTGCTTTTGAATTCCTTTTCTCAAGATGCTGAATAGCTTCTCGTATTACAACCTATCCATCCTCATAAATGGTAGCATGAAGAGACAAGCTACCCAGAGGAATGATAACACTGATGTGGCACACTTTTCCTAATTGAATTTTAAGGACTTTTATGGAGAAGAAAGTAAGGGAGGACGTGTTGTCTAGGAACTTGATGATATACAATATGTTTAATTTTTCTCCCCCTTGAAGAATTTCAGTCTTGCAACTCAAAAAAAAAAAAAAAAAAAAAAAAAGTGGTGTGCAGAATCTAAAAGGTAACTAGCATAACCCAGCAAACCTAGTATGAAATCTACTACAGCAGCATTAAGACCATGGAAAAAAAATTAGTAACACTGTCAACTTTCTTAGTCATTCTTCTTATTGCTGCTACTCCCTTCTCCTCCACTCAGTTACCTCACCATGAGACAAACTACAATAATTAAACAAATAATAAATTAACTCCTGACTAAATATCACATTTGCTGACATGTTAACATTTCTACCACAGAAAATACTCTATCACTCAGCTTCTATTCACTGAATGTCAACTACATAGACAATGTTTTCTTTAAAACATACCTGCAGTATGAGAGACTCTTTATCGCCTTCTAATCGTGCCAATCTTTCTTGATAGGTTTCATTATTAGTAGATGAATGATGATTCACCTGTGACTAGAGAGAAAAGGGCAGTAAGAATTTTTGCAGTTAATCTTAAAATTTCAAGCAGTAGTTCATAAAAATTGATATAGTGCAGTTTTCATAATGCAAAACACAGCAAAAAGTTTGTCTACATACCGAATCTTTACTTTGTACACGTTAAGCCTTTTGAATGTGCATTTTGAATACTTACTCTTTTCCAGCACTCAGTAATTGTATAGGAATAATTTTGTTATTTTCCAGCAAATTACTGTTTTTTTTTTTTAGAAGATGCCAGCTTACCAAGATAAAAAAAAAACACTGTTTACACTATTTGGACTCAACAGTATTTTGCCAAAGTCAAGGAATTTTGATATTTATTTATAAATACCTGCCATATGTATCACCCTATTCCTAGAAATTTACTGAAAGAAAAGTACAAATTCTTTTCTAATAACTAACAAATTATTTCAATCACTAAATTCCCATCAGGAACTATTCTGGTTACATAATTACTTACATATTTCTAAACATCTCTGAAGAGCGAGACCACCTAAAGCTTGGCCTATTCCTAAAAATTATATCTCATTTTCTACAGATCTTAATACACCAGAGACAAATACCCCAATAATAATAATAAAATAAATTCTTACAACAAGACAAAGACATATCTGCAGATTTTTAAAGAACAACAACAACAAAAAAAAAACAACAAAGCAAAACAAAACAAACTTTGGAAGAATTCATAGTTCCATGGTTCATCATGCATCTGGAAGCTTTATGCAATTGCAGGACTGGAACTGCTTGCTTAAAGTACCCAGTTGTAATATCACCCCATAATGGTTCATTTCCCTATTGCAGGCAATGCTTTTCTGCCTCGAAATAAAGCATGTTTTGGTTACATCAGCTTTCCAGCTAACATAAGAATCCAGCTACAGAGTTGCCTGTATCTGCGCTAGTTTGCAGCACGCTACTCAATTACAGTTGCATGTACAGCAGCAGCGGGAGGATTGTCATCTGTGTGAACTCTGTTCTTTTCCAACCAAACAAGTTTATCTATTTTTTCCATAGTTTCCTGATCTCAGCTGAGGTTTAGAGGCCTAACTGTAAAAGAGACCATGAAAATAAACATAGCACTAATTTACGCAAAGCAAGGAGTAGTTACCAATCAAATGCCAAAACACACTTTTCAAACTATGAAATACTGAACTATGTATAAGTTTAGCATCTTTAGTAGTTAAGCTATGATAACCTTCATCTCTGATATTTTTGAAAGTATTTTAATCAAATATATACATCAACAAACAGGACTGAGACATATCTGAAGAAATCATCTGATTCGTTATTCTGCCTTGGAACAGATGATTATTTGCAATTCTTGTTTTGTCTGCTTTTAAAATCTCTAGAAATGAAAACAGGTACCAGTCTTCACAGGTAATCAAACACCATCAATTTAACTTAGGTCCTACGTATTAAGCTGTATGGTCTTACAGACTTAAATAACTTTTGTAGTACTATAACAAAAAGAAGGTTGTAAGTAAGCACAATTTATTTCTGTATGTCTGTGTAGGCAATCCTTCGACTCCGGCTATACATCCTCAATCACACTGCCAGCAATTTTGCTTTAAACTATGTGAAGAGCGAAGTCCTTTAGACCGGAAAGCTTTACCATCGGCAGCTAGGTTTCCATTACAGCCAAACACTCCTCTCCATCTCATTACAAGCTTTTCCCAACAGACAGCCCACAGCCTTCCCCAGCATGTCTCTGACCCATACGCCATGGTAGGGGAAGACACAACTTCAAGCACCTAGGGTACAACAGCAGACTTCTAGGCAGGAGAAGATTCTCTGAACAACAAAAGCCAGCAGTGAAAACCACTCAGTCAGGCAGATCTTTGCACCTGTTATGCTGTTGTAATTTGCTGTTTTCCTATGCTAAATGTAACCAATCATGTAATCATTCCCCTGCTCCCTTTACAAGCACAGCATTATTGCCAACACACTTTTACATAAGCAATCCATCATCAGCATAAACTACAGTTCAACATTTTATATAATCAGTGATTGAGAATTAATTCAACGACAAATAAAGCAAAAATTTCACTGCACTCACATTTATCAAATATGCAGCCCCAATGATGTCTGCAGCACTGACTGATAAGGAAATATCCTATGTTGGAACTTCAATACTCAATACCCATGTAAGACCCAGTAGATCACACACCAGTGTGAACACAGAGAAGGAAAAAAATACCAACCCTGCCAACAGGTCAGAAAGAACGCTCAGATAAGTACAGGACAGTACAGTAGACAGAAAATGGCCTGCTTAAAAAAAAAAAAAAAAGTGGCTGATTGACACACAACAGTTGTTTAAGACTTTGGAAGTCTTTGTGGCATGCATAAAGACAAGATAAAAAATGTAACATGAACCAAGGCCATCTGTGCATGGTTGGAGTGCATTCAGCAGTTGTGAAAGACAGTACTGAGATAAAACTAAGTATAGTTACATATCACACGTATCGGCAGGACCCAAATATAGGACACAACACTGAAGTCAAGACTAGACAGCAAATCAGGGTAGGAAATCACAAACACACACTAAACTTTTGTAATCACATTATCGAAAGGTTGAATCACCAAGATTTTCTACAAAGATGTTACTCCAGAAAAAGTAACGTAGAAAATTAAAAACCATTACTTGAGCTTAACAATTTATAGCTAAATGTGTTAAATATATTTCTTGCAATGAAAGAATGGGTAGCATAATACACAGGAAACTTTCTGATAACATGATGAAGAAATAGAAGGAAATATATGTTCAGTCAAGGTGATTGGAACAGTTACAACTGCTGCAGTGCTACAAACAAGAAGTCAAGTATACAGCCTACGTGCTCTGTTAAGACAGAAACTGCAAAGCAGTTTCTTGAAGCACCTATACTACATAAGCAATCAGCACCTATACTACACTCTCCATAAAGAACCTGGATATAGTTTAGTGCCCCAACTGCATCAGATACGAATACAAAATATTTCCTTGAACAATTCAAAACCAACCATTTCTTCCACTTTTGGAAAAAAAAAAAAAAAAAGATTTTTGCATGTCAACACCTACTTCAACTTCTTATTCATCTCAAGTTTCCAGGTCTATCTTGAAAATGCTCTTTTACCTCTAACTTGGACATAACACTGATATGTGCTGGAAAATTGAGCATTTAAGTATCATTTACATGATCCAGGAACTACAGAATCCTATTCCAAGAAAAAGGCTCAAACATTATGATTATGATACCATAAATAAATTAAATCAGAATACAGATCATGATTCAACAGCTTCAGGTCAAAATAAAGATAAGCAGCAATAAATACAGCAAGAGTATGGCAAGAAAGGCAGGACATCTGATCAACTAGTTAGCTTAATTTTCAATAGCCTTCTCAGATAGGAGCTCAGAGTCCAGCAAATGAGGAATTTTACAGTTTCTTCCATAGTTTTATTATTTCTTCTGTGTTATTTTAACAGGATGCAGCATACTGTCAGAACTGAACAACCACCACTGTTTAGAGTTTCTGTACAGATGTTCTAGTCTGAAGTTTCTGAAACAAACTTGTTGAATCATGACAGACTGTAGGAGTAAGTCCCTTAAAGGAAGCACATTTTCAAGATAATGGAATTGAACAGAGGCCAATTTATGTTCTCCTCATGTGTTAAGTTTAATCTCTAAGAATTTCCAACACAGCTAATTTTAAAACTTCTGAAGTTGATCAGCCAGCTGTTACACAATTATTTTTCACTAATGTCTGGGTCTCATATTGGGTTATAGAAGAAAAAGAAGTTGAGAAAAGAAACTTGGCAGTCAGCTAGACTGGTGATTTGTAAGCTTTTTCAATAAGTCACTTGCCTCACAGAAAACAGATAATGGCAAAACCATCCTTTCCTCTTATTCAGTCACACGAATCAACTTCAGTTCCACTGATAATTGAATCAGATGCTTACGGCAACTGGAGTGCTTGCATTAGTAGGAAAGATTAGGGACAAACTTGATAAATTGTCTGCTGTTGCAGTTTAGAAGCTGAGAACAAGGAGTGTAGCCAGCACAGTTCAACCAGCCAGTTTTCCACAAACTACTAAGAGCACAAAGACTGCAGGAAAAATGTAGACTACAGACATTTTTCAGTCTATTTGGAGTTGATAATATTTAGAAGAATATGGACTTCCCAACTCCCCCCCTCCACTGTTTTGGGTCAGCAAAACTGATGCTGTGTTAGTTTTTGCTGTTGTAATATTGAGTCAGAAAACACAAAGAGTGAGTAACCAACAAAGGAAACACTTTGATTTTGGCACCTATCTGTTAATATAAATTTAATTTATTCTTTTGATACCTGAGATATATGCCCATGTGAATCTATGTATATTCACTCAGTGTACTTGAGGAGGGAGAGATGGCTGGAATGGGATTTCTGGATTTTGCCTTTCACCTGAAAGCAGAAGTAACAACTGGATTTTCTGTTTTCTCCTGCTCCTTTTTGAATAAAGGAAAGTGAAAGTCAAGCTAAAACAGCTAAGAGCACACAGTACAAAGGTAGGTAAATTTATACAGTCCTTAAAATCAAAGAATTTTACCAAACATTTACACTTTTTTCAGGAGAACTGCTAATGCTAGTACTTAAAGGAAGATGTCTATATGCAAGTCATGATGTTCATCCTCAATATCATCAGCTTAAGTGATAGAGCATGAGCTCAACCGCGTCACCTTTTGCTAGTAGAGATTATGTATAGAGTCAGAACCACTAATATATATCTTTCTCAGGTCAACCATCGGCTCAGCTGTGTGAAGACTTCAAAAGGTAAGTCCAAAGTAAGCTGCAAGAGTTATCAGGTGTTTTGATTTCACATGAAGGCATTTCTTTCAAAATGAAAAGCCTTAGCACCTCAGTGTTTTTCGGACAAGAGATTCTCCATTTTGCTACACTCCATCCGCTGCAGTTCAAATAGCTCAGTTAATCTACAATTTAATTAGAGACCCATTACACCATTTAGT